CAGGGAATAGAAGCCAAGATTAGGGTATCGGCACTGCCACTTGGCAGCTGTGTGACTTTAGCCTCACCAGGCTAAGGACAAAACCTCTGAGTCCTGGCTTTCTCAGTAAAACAGAGTTGGTGGCACCTACCTCAAAAATGCTGTTCATTCAACAAATATGAGCAAGGCCCTACCATGCACTCAACTGTGGGCTGGGCCCCAGGAAGAAAACAAGTCTAGGTGACTAGGGGATGTTCCCATGAGTTCTCTTTAAGGAAATGACCATGCAGTAGGCATGTAATAAATAATTCTCTTATTTTCACTGTCTCAAGTCAGTGATTTCTCTCTAAATGTCCACCTGCCCCCATGGCCCTGGCTGCCATCCTCAGCCCAGACAGAACCTCGTGCGAGCTGTCACAGATACATTGTGTTCCCAGGTTTTTATCCCTACTTCTGCACCTCTCCTGAGAGATCTAATTCCACACATTCATTTAGTGATTCAACAAATACTTACTTATTTGTTATTTACTCACTGTTCTAGGCACTAAAAATACAGAAGTGAACAAAACAAACCAAAATTCTGCACTCAAGGAACTTACATACATGTCTACATGGCCCACTGCTTTGTGACACACATTCCTTCCCTGTTTCTTGGTCCCTCACCCCAGATATCACACAGGCACCTCAAACTCAAACTCAACCCTTTTCAAAACAGGCAATTCCTCAAAAAGTTAAACATGGAATTGCCATTGACTCAGCAATTCCACCCCTAGGTATGTGCCCAACAGAACTGAAAATATGTCTGTATGAACACTTGTATACAAGAACACTTGTATACAAGTGTTCACAGCAACATTATTCATAAGAGGCAAAAGCGGAAACAACCCACATGACCATACACTGATGAATGAACAAACCAAATGTGGTATGTCCATACAGTGGAATATTATTCAGCCAGAAAAAGGAATGAACTACTGATACATGTTACAACCAACATGGATGAACCTAATAAATATTGTGTTAAGTGAAAGAAGCCAGATGGGAAAGGCCACATATTATATGATTTTATTTATATGAAATGTCCAGAGTAGGCAAAATAGGCTGTAGAGAGAGAAAGAATGGAGGGTGATTGCTAAGAAGTGTAGGCTTTCTTTTTTGGACTCGTGAATATTTTGTGGACCTAGATAGTGGTGGTTGTACAACTGTGTGATTATACTAAAACCACGGAGTTGTATATTTTTAAAGGGTGAATGTTATGGCATTTGACTTCTATCTCAAAACAAAAATTCAGTGGGACCAACCTGAATGCCTCATGTCCCCATAGAACTTGCCCCTCTGGTGCCTTCATCTTGGAGGACGGCACCATACCTACTGTATCCCCCTCAAAGCCCAGGTATCATCCTCACACCCTCGTTCTCCATTATCCCCACATTCTTTGGGGCAGATGCCAAGGGAACTTGGGCATGGGATGGGAGGGTAGGTTGTGGCTCATGGGACACAAGGTGTACCCATGGACTGTAGGCAGCAGGTGACCAGCCCAGGCACATGCTACGGGGCACAGAAGCCTTGGGGAGGGCTAAGACCAGACTCCAGGCATGAGAAGGACTGAATTCACAGCTGGGACCCATGCTGAGTGTTCAGAGGTTAATCAACCTGCAGTCTGCAGGTAAGTCAGGCTGACAATTTGTGTTTTTAAACAGTTTTAATGAGTCACCCACTTCTAAACACCAAGAGGTTCCTTTTGCCCATAAATTCCAATCTCCCCCTGCTCTTGAGAAGTCAAAAACTCTGGCTGATCTGGGCCCATGTCCGCCTGCAGCGATGATGTGCCGAAACTAAGCAGTGGGTGCTCCCTCCACACATACCTCCCTGGTGTGGGGCCCACTAGGGTGACCACTTCTGTCTTTCTGGTCACTGCTTCTGCCTGGGCATGGTGTAATCCTGTCCTCTTATCACTGCTGCCTCTTCACAGCTGCCCACTTCTGGCCTCCACCCCCACCCCAACACCTGCCTGCCCTGGACCTTCCCCTGATAGACATCCTTCTATGGCTCCCCACTACCCTCTATGGCTCCCCATGTTCCTCAGCCTGGCGTTCAGAGGCCTGGATCAGTGGCTGTTCTCACCCTCCACTTCCTTTCCCTTCAGTTCTCTCATTATCCACAGACTAATCCTAGTGACTCTTTTGCTGTTCCTTTCCTGCCCCAGGACCTTTGACCATACCTTGCTTTCCAGCATGAGTGCCTGGACCATGTAGTCACACAACCAGACTCTACTAACCAGAGTATCTCATTTCCTTGACCATAACAATTGGTTTTGTGGTAGGCCCTTGACCTAACCCCTGCCAGTAAGAGTTGGATCTGGGACTTTTGCTGGAACTCTGGAAAATGATACAGTCTTATGCCCCAATGATGGCTAAGCTGGTGGGACATCAGCCTGGAGTTGCTGGGGGACATTTTGCCACCATGAGGACAGAGAGACTGCCTAAGAATGAAGCCCAGAGGATGGCAGAGTGGGGAAGGGGAGAAGATCCTGGCTTCTTTGGAGAACCTAAGTGGGACCAACCTGAACTCCCCACCATTTCCCTGTGGAACTTTCTCTTCCTGTGCTCTCATCATGGAGGATCCAGCCAGGCCCAAATCCTGCTTTGATTTTTTTTTCCAGTTATATAAACCACTCAATAGCCCCACTCTTCACTAGGAACCAAAGAAGTCCTGGCCAACTCATTCTTCACTCCTCATTTTTCCTTTGCCTACCCTGTACCCCACCTTTTTCTCATGGAGCCCAACACAGAAATAGGCACAGAGAAGATGCTGTAGAAATGTCCCTGAATCCATTTTTCCCAGCAATAATTTGTATCTATCCTAATCCCTGATTGGTGTGTTCCAGGATTCATCTGAAAATCTTAGAAGCATGTGAAATTCTCAAGCACTCCGTGTGGAGGTGCACAGGGGGTTAGGAAAGCCAAGAACAGGCTTTCCTGGACTATAGCCCCTAGGCTTTTTTGCTCAAGGTGGTTCCGCCACTGTGTTGCCTCTTTCAGGAAGCCTTCCCACACTACTCTTACCAAGCAGCATTCACAAATCCCACTGGGACTCTCCTGTGAGCTGCAGCCAGACCTCTCTCTTCTCCAAACCAGAGCCCTCCAGGCAGGGACATATCCCAGTATGCTCCTTATATGGATGGGCCTGATAGGTCATGGATGACAGCCCACAGCCTATATGCTGAGTTCCAGAGAGCGCATCACCACCCAGGAGATAGTTCTAACTGCAAATTAACCATTTAAAAATATTTTATGTTTATTTATTTACTTTGTGTGTGTGTGTGTGTGTGAGAGAGAGAGAGAGAGAGAGAGAGAGAGAGAGAACACAGCAGGGGAGGGGCAGAGAGACAGGGAGAGAGAGAATCCCAAGCAGGCTCCACACTCAGTGCAGAGACCAACCCAGGGCTTGATCTCAGACTGCAAGATCATGACCTGAGTCAAAATCAAGAGTTGGATGCTTAACCAACTAAGTCACCCAGGCGCCCCACAAATTAACCATTTTAATTTGAGCCAAAAAGAGTAACAGCTTAGTTCAGCCCGCTGGGGCCTCAGGCCCACTTGCTCGCTCCACTTGCCATGGACTTCCCAGAAGAGTGTGACTGATAGAGAACACAGCCTCAGTTTCCCTCCTCAGAGTCTGTTCGGGTTCTCAGCATCTCAGCCTCTCTGCCTCCATCTCAGTAATTCTCCATCTCTAAGTCTCAGGACCTGTCTCTTCGTCAGAATGGTTGTGCTCCAATGTCTGTCCCTCTGTCCAGGTCTGTCTCTCTGTCCGTCCATCCCCCATCTTGTTTGTGCCCTTGTCTCTGGAATGCAGAAGTCTGGCTCTTCTCCCATGCTCCCTTTTGTACCCTACAGCAACCACAGGACCAGACAGACAGCGGCCTTGGGAAGGGGGGGTGGGTAAGTAAAGAAAGGCCATTCCTCCTCAGGAATGCGCCTGTGTACAATATCTTTAGAGGGGATCTCCCCGCCCTTGTTTTGTGGAACAGCTGGGAACTTGAAACCTGAGATAGTAAGACCAAGTCCAGGCTGGTTTCCATCTCCAGCTGAGTGGTTAGCGAAGCAGTGGGCAGTGGCCAGATGAGGGTGCCAGAGACAGCAGGAGTCGGACGTCTGGGCTTGTGGGTGGGGTTGTGGGGGGGTGGGTATCATAGGACACCCTGCCTTCCTCTCTCTGCTATACGCCTGGGCAAGTCGGTACCCCTCTCTGTGGATGTTTCCTTTTCAGGATCTCAAGGCCAACTTTGGAAACTTGCAGCTGGATTCAGAGCTGGTTCAGCCTCTTTCTAGTTGTGAGATCCACACTAAATCACTCATTGTCTCTGAGCATCACCAACGCTGAGGAGGCCACATCCATTTGGAAACTGAGTAGACTGTCCTTGGGAGGGAGGAAAGGAAGGAGGGAAGTAGGCAGGTCCCTGTTACTGGAAGTATGTGTTCAGGACTGAATGGTGGCTCGGGGCATATGGTGCAGCTAGGGGTGGGGTGGTGGGAGGGGAGGACTGTCCCTTTCCCTCTGACAGGCTGTGACCAACACACAAGAGGGTCCTGGCGCTGGTCCCAGTGCTGACCTGAAAGCAGAAATAGGGAGCCACGGGGGTCACAGTGAGGACAACCGTCTCCCATCTCTTTGGGTGAAGGATGGGCTGGGCCTGGGTGGGCAACCTCTCTTTTCCCTGGAGGATCAGGAGTGCAGCTAAGGATGAACTTTTAAGCCTGTCCTGTGCCTGGCATCATAGCATCAGTGCCTCACTGCAAAGTTCTCAGAGCCCGTGTGAGGTGGGAAAGGAGAAGGCAGCATTAAGTCTTGGGGGCAGGAGGTCTCAGTTCTAGCTGGGATCCACTGCTCCTTTCTGGAAGAGCTCACATGACACTGCAGATGTCAAACTGGTCTGTGAGCAGCAGGGAGGCAGAGGCTGAAGGTATCAGAGGCCTAGGTCCTGGCTCTGACTCCACCTGACCAGCTTTAAGACCTTGGGGGCCAGATGGGAAGGCTGTTTTGGATAACAGAGGCCCTGGAGGGACCAGAGAGATATGGTCACTGTTTGGCCTCCTGGTCAGCCTGCCCTGGGCTCCAGTCAGCAGTCCTGGTTTGGTCCCACAACAAAAATGGGGATATGGAGAGCAGAGGGGCACGGCCCTCAGAATCACAGAGCAAAATGATTCTGCCGGGCATCCCTCAACCCCTCAGCAGGAGCTGAAACCCTTTCAGTGGCCCTGGGGCCTTCAAGAACCCTTTGCAGCATCACTGTGAGTGGACATGGTGATCTCCCCACCTCCACACACATGTAGGGATGAACACGTAAGGTACCTAGCCACTTCAGCCACAGGACATGCATCATGTGGATACCCAACCCCAGGGACACACCCAGTAGGCACATGCCCAGACACATGAGAACACGTGCATCCACACAGAGCTCTAGGTACAACACAGATACATACACCACACACACACACACACACACACACACACACACGTGCTCACACAAGCACACACATGGGTAAGCCCCTGCCAGGCCTGTCTTGGCTTCTGGGACAGCAAGGCTGATCTTAAGAAGATGGCCTTTGCACAGTTCCCAGGACAGCCAGACTGCAGGGGACTCTCACCTTACTTCTGCCTCAGCGGGACAGGTCTCAAGATGCCCATAAAGGAGGAGTCATCCCTGCAACCTGAACTGACCTCCAACCTCTGCCTGACATGCCGCCGTTTAGGTGTCAGGTGTTCTGAATTTGGAAGTTTCTTTGCTCTGGGGGTCTCAAATATTGCAGGATGCCTCTAATTTAGGCGGGGCAGGTGGAAGCAGGGCCTTTCCCTCTTTGGCCTATAAAATGGGGTGCGGCCTCCATCTCTTAGTAGTGGCCAGCGTGGCTGGGTGGTCAGAAGTAAGACTTGGATGTGGTTTGCTGGGGCCCTGGCCTCCAGCACCACTCACCACTTGAGAGACTGTTAACAGTGAGTCAGTTCCTTAGAACCCAACGGCTTTGCTTCTTGTTCACCATATGACCCAGAGCAAGGCTTCCCTTCTCTACCTTAGTGTCCCCATCTTGACAGTGAGTTATCAGGCTTCCATTCTTTCTGAATAGCACTACAGTTTGTCACGGAGGATGACAACCGATGGAGAGAAAGAGGGGCTCATTGGGATCCTGGGGGGCATCCCCAAGCCTGGAGAAAAGGCCCAGGTTGGGAGCTGGTGCAAGAGGGTGGCAGTTAGGGGGCCCAGACTCACCCGATGACGTAGACCAGAACCACGAACTGGATCAGGCGGAAGACGACGCCCACCTTCTTGTTGCGCACGAGCACCATTCGGGGAGTGTCATACTCAAAGAAGAAAGCAGACAGCTCATCCTGGAGCCGCTGTGCCATGGTGGGCCAGGCTAGGGGCTGAGAACTGAGCGCCTTGCACAGCCTTTGCTCTTGAGGTGAGACCAGCGTCAACGCCCACGTCTACAGTGGAGCTTCTAGGGGTTTCCTGGTCCCTTAGGAAGGGTAGGGCAAGGCAGCTTGGGGCCAGAGGTCAGGAGTCAGGGGTTAGTTGGAGGCATTTGGATTGAGAAGGAGAGTCCTTGGGTGGTCAGAGCAGCTCTTGGCCCCTGGCAGGCAATGGACTGTGGGCCAGCCCTGTCTGTGGACAAATAAATTCCCAAAGATGGATGGGGGCGGGGCTAGTGGGGCCACCCAGGCCCAGCCCCACTGCCCCTCCTGGCTCCGCCTAGGCCCTGCTGAGCCTCCGGAAACAGAAGCTGTTGGCAGGAAAACCACAGGCCACTCGTCACAAGGCAAAGATAAAGCTGTCAACCCCCAACGAACCTGGCAGAACAGAACAGAACAGGGCCAAGGGCTTGGGTGGAGTGGCCTCAGGCTGAAGCCCTCCCCAAACCGGGGATCCATCCCCATATCCAAACATCCTTCTCACTCTACCTGTGGCCCCAGGTGGGGAGCTCAGTCCCTGGGAGGTTTGCGGCCAGGAGAGCAGAAGAGGACGTAGGACATTTCTGGTCCAGCTACCTGATACTTCCAGAGCCTGTGACAGGACCCCCACCTCTGTCCTTGTAGACCACCTTCCATCCACCTGTCCGAGTCCAAGCCTGGCTGTGCCCAGTCAACCTTAGCATTGGGCTGGCATCTCTATAGCTTACCTCTCCTCTCCCATCACCTGCCCTGTCCTGTCCTAGCCAGGCCTCCACCTCCCTGAAACAAGCAGAGGGAGGCAAGTGCCTAGAAGAGTCAAGGGCCACATCAGTTACACATTGCCATTGGGCTCCCTCAGATGCATCCGGGTAAGCCTGACAGCAGACGGCCTTGGTTAATATCCTTGGCTTTGCCACTAGCTGCCTGTGAGGGCTTGGGTTATTTGCCTCACCTGTCTGAGCTTGTGTCCTTATCTGTGAAATGGGGATGATAATGGATTTCTTTCATAGGTAGAGGCCCTAGCCAGGTGAGTCCCAATAATGCTGAGGACAAAAAAAAAAACAAACAAAAACAAAAACCAGAGCCCCTCTGTATCCCTGTCTTCAACCCCAGCTCAGGGCAGGAATGCAAGGCCCCGGGGACTGGGATGGGGCAGAGGCCTCATGTTCGCTTTTGGAGCCCTAGAGCCAGAGGCCTCCTCCAACCCCATGCCTTGTTTTGCAGATGAAGAAATGAGCTCAGAGAAGAGAAATGAATTGCCCAAGCTCACCCTGGGTGGTACTGGAGGCTTCAGCTTGAAGCAGGAAGGCCTTGCTGGCTGCCCCTCAAACCAGGCCAGGTGTCCTTGGGACTTCCTCTAGAGGTGGGAGGTGGAGGCTGGGTGTCCCAGGGGTGTGGGGCGCTCCCCTGCAGTCCAAACTGCCTCACCCTGAGGGCTGATAAGAGTCTCCTTCATGGCTGGGAAATTAGCTGGGAAATTGCTCTAGTCAGGGAACCAGACCCAAGGGCTGGAAATCCCAGGTGTGCCTGAACAGAGCTGCTCTCTGGATGGCAAAGGCCCCAACCGAGGGCAGGTCCGTGGCCTCTTGCAGCACCCTGGGCCAATCCCCCTTTCAGACAGATCAGTCTCGCCAGTCTCAGACTCAACTGTGTGTCCAATGCCACCGTCAAGCAGGGCAGGCCAGAACCATGTCCTGGGATTTTCTAAGCAAAAAAATCCAGAGATGCTGGGAGCCAGACCTAAGGGGATCACATCCCCTCGGCCTGGTCTTGATCCCACACAAAAGGGCCTATTCTCTTTCCAGCTGATCCCGTGGCTCTTGGAATAGCAGGTCCCAGGACATGAATTGCTTGTGATGAAGAGCCGGGGTGGATGCTGGCATTACCTGAGCCATCTCTGTGTCCCTCTCCTCCCATGATTCCTGGATATTAAGGAGGGCAGCCGGCACTTAGGTGAGGGGAGGAGGAGGGGGCAAAGGAATTCAGGCAGTCATCCTCCAATCTGTATCTGCCCTTTGGATACCATCACCGTGACCTCCTCCACCTCCTCCTCCTTCTTCTCCCCTCTGCCCCGTTCCAAGGAGCCAGCCTTGCTGACAGACAGATGGACCAATGGACAGATGGCTTCCTTTGCCTGGCTAAATTTAGTGGCCGGTGGGGTGCAGAGGGGGCCTCTGCTCATCGGAGGCCAGCCCAGGCCCTCAAGGGGTTTCGGCACAAGGCTCCAATGGGTCTCCTTAGCTACTCAGACACCCTTGCTTGGAGCACACACATCTGCTCCTGTTAGAGCCTCAGTTCTGACCCTGACATTCAGAAAACAGACTGTCATGGAGGATTATTTCATTTGAACAGACTGTCATGAGGATTATTTCATTCATATTTCATATGAAATCTAGAGCACGCCCCAAAGAAAAAGAAGTAAAAGCAATTGCGTTTCTCTTCCCAGATCTCTTTTTTCCTAGTAACTTTGCCAGAGTAAGAGAGGCAGCTGATAGGATCAATGCATCTTTCACTGGTTCTAAAATGCATCTTTCCATCCAGGACTATGTTTTCCCGCCCTTGCCCCCACTCCAGCATCCCCAGGGACAGACATCTGTGATTGTTCTAGGCATTGTGGGGAGCAGGGGTGGGCAGGGCAGGGGTCAGAGTTTACAGGGGACGTGGTGCTTTCACACTCCACAGATTTTATTTAAAACAGCCCTGTGATGTAAGCACCGAAACCCCCATTTTACAGATAAGGAAACTGAGGCTCTAGAAATTGAGTGCCTTGCCTAAGTAGCTCCCATGCCGGCCAGTGGCTGGAAAGGAGGCTCCCCAAAGTCTGAGAGCTTGGCCCAGAGCCCACCCCAAGACTCCAGTATTTGAGAGCTGCCAGACCTTATAAGCCCAAAGGCCAAGTGGCTGGCTCTGGTATTGGGCCAGACCTTGTAGGGAGACAAAGCAGTGCTGCCAAGCCCTCAGCCCCAGGACAGCCTCCTCTGCCTGGCTAAATTTAGCCACTCTATGGAGTGTAGAGGGGGCCTGTGTCCGTCCTGGAGGCCAGCCCAGGCCCTCAAGGGGGTCAGCACAGATTCCAATGGTCTCCTTAGCCATTCAGGGTCCCAGAGTTGCAGGGATAACACCTCTGCTTGAAGAGTTCAGGCCAGTCCCCCACACCGGGCCCGTCGGTGTCCCAGGGCTCGCTCAACGCCACTCGACTCCTTAGGTGATGGCCAGAACAGGGCTCTGGGCCAGTGTACAGACACTGTCAAGGGGAGGTTGTAGGGGCAGGCATTTATGGGGAGGCCACAGCAGGGGTCCTCATGGTTGGCCTCTCCCAGACCTTGCACTGCTTCTCTGGCCTCTTCTAACCTCCCCAGCTGTGGGCCATGACCTGGCCGGAGCCCCTTCTCCCCAGCATCTGAGGCATCACAACCCCCTGGTTCTCCTCCATCCTTTTGAGTCATTTCCTCTTGGTCCCCATCCACTTCCTGCCCCTGGAATATGAGGACTCCTTGGGCCGACCTAGGTCCCTGCCCCCTAAACACTGAGCGCTCCTTGGGAGGCTTGTCTCCTTGCCTCCTGATGTTGCTGAAACTTTTACACCCACAAGGCAGCCACATGCCCACCCACCTCCTCGGGCTCCTACCTCCATCTTTTCTTCTAAATCCAACTGTATTGAGGAGTAACTGACATACAATAAAATGTACCCATTTTAGGCACAGAGTTTGATGAGTTTTGACAAATGCATGTAACCCCCACCCCCACCCGTCATCTGTCACCTTAGAATGTTCCCTCCTGTTCTTTTGCTGTCAATCTCTCCCCAACCCCCAGCCAATTACTGATCTGTGTTGTCACTAGATTTGTTTTGCTTTTTCTAGAATTTCATGGAGGTGGAATTGCACAGTATGAGCTTCTTTCACTCAGCACAAGGGTTTTAAGCTTCATCCATGCTGTGGCATATATCAATAGCTTGCTCCTTTTTTTCACTGAGAAGTATTCTGTCGTATGGACATACCACAGCTTGTTGTCCTTCCCCCGTTGATGGTCATTTGGGTTGTGTTCGGTTTGGGGCTGTGATGAGTAAAGCTGCCACAGACAGTTGAGTTCAGTTCTTTGTATGGACGTTAGGTCATTTTCTGACTTTGTACCTCCATTTCTCCCGGTGCGGCCCCAACGAGGTCTCTCCTACCCCTGTGAGGGGTGTAGCATGGGAGGCATTGGGGGGCACAACATGGGCCAATGGAGGGGGCAGGACAAGGCCACGGACATTTTGGCAGCTGCCATCCCTGAGCCAGTGCAAAGTGAGCCGGGGCTTGCCCCAGAACTCCCTCTTGGGTGAGTGGCTGTGAGGTAGGAAACCTCTGTTTACCTTGGCTGCTCCATCCTGACCTGCCAGGCTCCATGCTGTGGGCTGGCAAGGCTGGATTTGTGCAGGCTTGGGTAGGGGCAGAGGTGAAGCCGGCCTGCCCATGACCTCCAGCAGCTGATGGAAGTCCTGGAGCTGCCCTGTCTCCTAAGCAAGCCCCCCAAGCCCATCTTAGCTCCACGCTCTGCCTATACATCATGAGGAAATCAGCTACATAGTCAGGCTCTCAGAGTCTTGGGGATCTTTTATCTGTAAAATGGAGCCCTAACCCCTGGCTTGGCCCATCTCAAGGAGCTGGCTGGGCACCGAGGGAGATGCAGAGTATGCAGAGGTTTGGGGATCTGAGAGGTCCTAGTGATGGACCACGCAGAAGGAAGCATCCTGCCCATCCTTGGCTCCAGCTGTGAGCCGTGTGCCAAATCTTGCCCTTCCCCCCACATAAAGTCTAGGAGCTCCTAAGGGCGAGTTCTGTCTCTTCCAGTCATGGCTGGCTTCATGGATGTGTGCTCTACGAAGGTGCACTGGACCCCATGCTCAGAAAGGCCCTGGTCTTGGTTTTAATGCTCTGCTGTCACTGTTATGAAACTCTCACTTTTTAAACAAAGGGCTCCGCATTTTCATTTTGTACTCAGCTCGCAAATTCCAAAGTCAGTCCTGTCTCTGGCTCTGTGGGCAGGGCCTGATTTCCCTTCCCAAGGCAGCTGGGCAAAGGATTAGATACAGAAACTTCATGAATGAATCTTCCCTACAGAGGAAGAAAATCAGGGAGATGGGGATGCACAGCTATTCCTTTTGCAGAGCCCCTGCTCCCAGAGGGCAGGGTCACCTGGGTGAGTCAGGAGTTAATATCAAGCAGCCTCTCAAAGGGTCTTGGACAATGTGAGCTGAAGGAAGCCATGGAGAGGTGCCTTTGAGCTGGGCTTGGAAGGGTCAGAAATTGAAGGCATCCTTGGGGTTCAAGGAGGGCAAGGAAGCAGAGCGAGAAACCTCAGGGAGAGATTCAGGACCCACAGAATAGTCAGGGCTGGAGGTCCCTGATATTTAGGTTCCAGGCCTAGCTCTGCCCCAGACCAAGTCGTAAACCCCTCCCAGCCTGTTTCCTCACTGATGACATGTGAGTCTTAACATGTGCAGGGGGTTTGAACACATGCACCAACTATCAAGTGCTGTCCCTGTGAGGAGCAGAGTTGTGTCTCTGCCATTTGGGAGTGGCTGGGGAAGTCAGTGCCTTATCTCAGAGGAAGAGGGCAATCCCTGGCTGGCAATGTGGGAACCCCAGACCTCGACTCTTGTTCCCAGAGGTGAGGTGGGTATAGCTGGTGACAGCTCAGGTAGACACATGGGCAGATGGTGGAGCCACTCGTTAGGAAAACAGATGGTGATGACCCTCCATTGCCCCCGGCACTCAACCTTTATTTCTCTACCAACTTCACGTCAACAGGTGGGTTCAGGGCCCTCCAACCATCCCCCACCTCAAGATCTCCCTTCCCTTCAGCAGGACAGAAGCAGAGAATCTCTGTGGGCTAGTGCCCAGGGGAGCCCCGCCTGACTGAGAGAGGGGAGGGAAGAAAGGTGTGGTAAGAGGCCACAGAGCCTGGAGCCCATTTGTCTGCAAGGCAGGCTAAGGGGGCTTTTTGATTCTGGGGACCAGGACAGGGATGTGAGTCTTGATTTACACATAAAAGAATCACTTGGTGTACTCTCCAGGAGGGGTGAGGATGTACATTGACCCACTGTTTTCTTCCATGCCTAATTTTCGCCAGAGGGGCAAGAGCCGAATTAAAAGAACATTTATGTCCATCAAACGCTCTTTTCCCATCATCCAACATGATCCACAATGGACACACATTCTTCCAGCAATGAGGGAGGGAGAGTAAGTGCTGTTGGGTAACTAGCCATTCTTAGTGACATCCTTTCAGCTCACGGATATGTGGGGTTGGAGGTGAAGAGTGAGGCCAAGAGTCTAGAAGACTCAGAATCACCCAGCCATGCAGACTGTGGGATGGTGCACACAGGGTTGAGCTGAGAGGGCACAGTGATCAGGTACCCAAGGATGTCTGGGGTCTTAGGCACCAGGGACATGGAGGGCAAATCCAGCCTCTGCTTGGCAGACTGGACAGCAACGAGACTTGGCATGTCTCATTTGCTTAGGACAGGGAAATCGCAGTCTGGGAGTGTCCAGAACTGAGGCAGCCAAGCCAGCTGTCTCTTGGGAAGGGGATCCTTACCCAGCAACCCCCTCCCCCCCCCCACTACTACCATCTCCCTCCCACTGACCCTTCAACCCCCTGCACATATAAACAGTAAGAGGCTCAAACCCTCACGTGCCAACTTTGTGGGAAAAGAGCAGAGTGGAGGGGGGTTGTCTGCCCTCACTGTGCACAGCTGGGCCCAGATGTCCTCCCCTTCACCGCCCCCCGTCCCGCTGACCAGGCCCCAGACCAGGCACTAAGTGAGAGGTCAGAGCTAGCAGGAACTCCAGGAGTCCTCCATTAGTACAGAAGCACCAGTGACCAAGTAAAATGCCCAGCCTCCAAGCAAGGGAGTGCCTGCTCCAGAATGTGCTCATAGATTTGGGGGTAGAGGCCTCTGCATGTCTGGATCTGCTTCCAGCTCTGGCTTCTGGGCAGGCCCCTCCTAGGCTGCTGCTCTGGAGCCGGAACGTCAAGGGTGAACTTCCCAGGAGAGTCCCAGAGGCATGAGTTGCACAGCCCCCATGCATATGGAAGCAAGGACAGAGACCCTCGGCAGGGCCCAGTGAGCAAGCGGTGAGCGTGACGGCAGTGTGGGGAGTAGGAGTGAACGCTTGGGCATCATCAGGCTGAGGTACGCACTGGAGACTCCACTCTGTTCCCAGCACTCACTTCTTGTCCTTTTCTTCTGGAAGAAAGACCCAAGAGTATGCTGAGATGTATGTGTGACGGTACACAGCCAGACTGGTTCTGTCTGGCCCCTCCCACCCTCCATTTCTCTCGGGACAGCTGCATTCTCCCACGGTATCAGTCAGGGGACCCAGTTCCACTGAGTCTTCTGATGCAGCTCCACATATCCAGCTGCTGCCTGGGCACATTTCCCTGATGCCCCCTGGGCCTCCTTCACTCTACATGTTCTATCAACACCTCCAGGGCATATTTTCCTCTCAGTTTTCAGTTTGGGGAACCATACCTAGCATGACGACATCCAGAAACTGGTGGCATTAACTCTTTGTTCATCCCATAGACTCAGGCTTGCTGAGTTTACCACCGACGTCTCTCGAGTTCTCTTCCTCCTGCTGCCCCATGCCTCAAGTCCTCTCAGCCCTGCTCTTAGCCCCCATCTTACCTCACCATCACCCTCCTGCCCCTGGCATCACATTACAAATCCAGCCTGTCATCCCCTTTGATGGCTCTCCATTGCCTTCAGAATAAAGTGCAAGCCCCCCTCACATTCTGGACTCTCCCAGATCAGCTCCTCTAGGCCTCCCTTCCCCTCGGTCTGGCCCTTTGGCTTCTGCCTGACAGCTGCTCAGTCACACCTAGGTATGGCCAAGAGATGGGGCAAGAGGACCACCCCCCCTCGCCTACCCCCTACGGATGACCCGGCATCTGCAATTCTCCCCAGGACACATCCCTCATAAATCATAGGGAAGCTTATAAGTATCAGGCCTCAGTAAAACTTCCCTAAAAGGCCACCAGGCTGGCTGGGAATGTAACAGGGTCCCCTCTCTCACCCCCGCCCCATCCGGCTTTAGAAGGCCCAAGGGACTCTGCAGCCACACAGGGCAGAGCTGTCTGGACTTGTGGCAGGCACACACCAGGCCACCTCTCAGATGTGGCTGCAGGTGCCCAGCCTGAGTCTTTCCCGTGGGCCCCATAGCCACTCCCTACAGCAGGGTACCGCCCTTTCAAGCCAAGCCTCACCAGAACCATAGTCAACATCTCAGGTTAATGGTGGAGGTGGAGGTGTTGCCCAGGACCAGTTCGCCCTGGGCTGGCACTCAGTGTCTCCCCCTAGACCAGCTCAACACAGCTCATCAGCCTCCCTGCTTTGACCCTCCCATCTGTCCTCCATGGTTACCCCAGTCCCTTCCATGCTTCTACCCTTCTGTGGCTCACACTGCCATGAGGATAATGCCCAGGGTCCTTACCTTGGCATTCGAGGCCCTTTCCACACTGTAGCCTCACTTCTCTACCCTGCACTCTGAGCCCCAGCCCCACTAGAGACGCCAAGCCATGCTAGCCCAGCCCTTTCACCCCCAAGTTCCATCCTCCCCGTTTGAACCTCTGCTTAGATCTTGTCTCTTCTGGAAACCACCTGCAACCCTTAGCCAGCAGGGATTGCTTCTTGCCTAGCCCTTCCAAGCTGCCCTGTCCTGTTAGGTGCCTTCCCTCCTCTCAGGCCAGGAAGCTTCTACCATGTGCCAGCCAGTGCCGAACATAGGCTTTTCCCCATTGGCTGAGAAATTTTCTCACTTCTAAGTTTTCTCAAGAAAATGTGCTGAACTCCTTAGCAGATATGGCTGCTAGGGAAGGCTCTCAGGGAAGACAGAGAAACTGCCCGAGCTGCCAATGAGGCCTGACTTCCCAGGTGAGTTAGCGTGATCAAGGCCGGCCAGCAGAATTCCTGGTAGGTCACCTCTGTGCTTCAGCCAGAAATGGAGAAGCCCTGGGCCCCCAAGGGTGGAGTTTTAGGTGACAGTCCTATTTCTCCTTCTTCAGCTCCCTAGGAGTGTCCACGGTGGGTGGGTCAGAAAGAACCGTACTGGGGGCAAAATGCCTTGTCTGGCTCCCGCTACCTCACCCGTGGGTCCCAACAAGGCCTTGCTTTGGCTGAGCACCTACTTCCACCTCTAAATGGTCTGGTCACACTATGGACAGACCTGTGGTGGGCCAGCTTCTCCAGAGAAAGAAGGCCAACTTGTTTTAGCCTCTTTAATAAGATAAAATGTTTACAGCATCTAGGAGGGTTGGCCAGTGTGAGACAGAAGCCGATTGATCGCCTTGGCCCCTATGGAATGACAAGCACGTGATCTATTTATAGCCCTCCCCCCAACTCCAGGCTCCCTCCCCTGGGGCCGTGACACATTCCTGCCTGAGATGACCCTCAAGGACCCAGCCGCTCCAGTGCAGGCCTTGGGCTATGGCTGGGACTAATCCAGACCCTCCCTAGCAATCTGGCCACGGGGCTACTGCCTTGGCTCAAACTCCCAGGAACAGGGAGTTTCTCATCCCTGCCTTCTTCCATTTCTAGGCAGCTCTGGAGTGAGAAGATGGTGCCTCCCTTGTCCTTGGGAGGTTAGAATCACCTACTCTCTCAGGCTCCTCCACCAGCAGAAGCTGGCAGATGGATGCCATGCCCCAGCCCCCTCCTCTAAACACTGCCTCCAATGCCGACCCTGCCATTCTTCCTCTATTACTGGATCAAGGCAGACCCAGAGCAGTGAGCTTAGAAACAGAGAACGCCCTCGTCCACCCTCCTACAAGGTAACACCAAAGAGGCCAATCCAGTGTGGTCTGGGATCCTGGAGGTGGTCAGTGGCTGCTCACTCCATGCCTGGGAGACTGCCCTGAGAATATCTGCATTAAGACAGGCTGGGTTCAGAGAAGTCAGAGGCCAAGGCCCAGAGAAGGGCACACTGGGCCTGGCCATGCAGGGTGGATGGCAAGTGAGGAGAGGGAGGCAGCATGGCCCTGAGTAGTGATCCTGCTGGCTGTGCCCTTGTAGCACAAGACCCTGCAGGTATCATGAGTCATAGCCACCAGAGCAGAGCCCCTTCTTGTCCTCTACTTGGTGATCCAAGAATACTTCTTTCTCTGTATAGACAGGGAGGCTGAAGCTGGCACCAGCCCGTTGCCGCCTGGGAGCAGAGGCAGGCAGGGAAGTGGGCAGGGAAACAGGCTAGAGGCAAGCAGGGTGGGGAGGGTCTGGGGCTTCCTACTCACCATCCACGTGGTTCCGGGACAGGTACTTGAGGGCCTCATCAAGCAGGATGACAGGCAGAGATATCTGGAGCACCACTACCCACTGGCGCCCACTCAGTGGGGTCACCTGGAAAATAAGCTGGGGAGTGGGGAGGTTTGGTTAAGGGAAGGACTTCTCATGTCCCCGTGATCCACCTGCTTCATACACCTGGGCTGCAATGGACCCGACATGAGCAACTCCAAGATGCTCCTTGAGGTCCCACCTCCAGATCTTTGTCCACTCTGTTTCCCCTGCCAGAAGTGCCCTCCCCTGCCCTTAGCCAAGGACCAAATCCTGTTGGTCCTGTTGAGAAGTGGGAGGCATTCTGTCCTGGGGAAGAGCATAGTGTTTCCTCCTGCCCTAGCCTTGGGCAATTCCCCAGAACAAGAAGTCCGGTCTCCACCTCTTCTGTTCCCCAAGTCTGAGGGCTCCTGAAGCACAGGCTGTGTGCACCAAGCACCTTCAGATCTCCCCACTCCCAGTCCTCCAGGCTTTCCATAGCAAAAGGGTCCACAGAGGCCCAGTGGCCAACCCAGGGCCAGAAATGTTAAAGGAAGGTTTGGACCCTGTTGCAGAAGGGGTTTGGAGTCGGGCAGAAACTCACGGGCAGGGGTGGCACCAGCAGGATGAGGAAGTGCAGGGCCATGGACATGGCCACAGCTGCCAGCAGCCAAGGGTTCAGCCAGGGTGGCATCCGCAGCAGCGACTGGTTCTCCGAGACGCTGCCAATGGTACAGGATACTCATCTTGGGCCAGGATGGGAGCAGGCCCTGCGGTGGGCACCCATCCACCCACGTGGAGGTGCAGGGAGTGGCCTGAGCCTCAGAATTTCCCTAATTGGGCCTGTAGGCTGGAGTGCTTCTGGGAGGCCAGTGCAGCTGGGAGGGATGTGTCACAGTTGTCTGCTCAGCCCCCCAGCAGCCTGTCCTTAGAGCTTGAACCTCCTTTCTCTGTCCCTCAGACCCAATCCTGGCCCCTCCGTTTCTTTAGACCCCAATCTTGGCCCTCATTGTTCCCTAGATCTCAATTCTGGCCCCACTCATCCTCAAAACCCTCTTCTGGACCCCTCTGATCCTCAGCCCCCACACTTAGGCCTCACCCCCCATCCCTCAACCCACTCCGGGCCCCTCAGCCCAGCCCACCTGTTGAGGGCATTGCACATTTCAATGGTCACCAGCACAGACAAGGCCATGGTTGTGGGGAAGCGTGACTCGAAGACCTCGCAGTCAATGTCAGCAAAGAGTGGGTTGTCCTCGGAGCACTTCAGGAAGTTCCTCTGAGGGCACCAAGGTGGGGTGGGGTGGGGTTGGGGAGAACAGTGGTCAGGGAGGGGCCAGTGTGGGGGAAGAGGGAAGCCTCACTCCGTCCTCAGCCTATATCTGAGGACATAATACAACCAGTGGGCAGGGTGCTGCCATGGGGTGGGCCCAAGGAGGGGTGCCTGCCTACCCAGGATGGGGTCAGAGGGACTACACTGTTCCAGAGAAAGGAGAAGCTAGCATTAGGATAGGGAGGACAGCAGAGGGCCCTGGGATCAGAGGGAGGATGCAGGCATTACCCTGAAGGTGCTTGGGGGAGCCCTGAATACTGGGGATGCAGGACTGAGGGTGGTGATTACCTGAGACCACAGAATAAATAAATGCATATGAAAACCAATCAGCCAAATTGTTCGAATAGAATTCACCTCTGGTGGGTAGACAAAGGCTGCATGTACTCCCAATCACCATTAAATAAGATTCCACTCATACTTCCCTCCAATTCTGCCACTGAAATTGAGCTCTACCACACTTGCCTTTTGCTTACAACATGGATTAATGAATTGCTAGGTGCAGGCTTACTACACAGCTTCTTCATAATTAAGAAGAAGCTCTCGGGGCTTGATAAGGGAAGTGGCTCTTGCCCTTGCAGTCCCCGGGGGAGAGTTTTCTTCCTGTTCATAAACTTTGCTCACAGATTCTTCTGTGATAAGATGCTGAGCTGAGGCCATGTATGAGAACTTCTGGCTTGTTCTCTTTTGCATTACTGGGATGAGTGTGAATGTTCATAACTGTTAAACAGCTCTGTTCTCTAATAATATAAATTTGTTCTCTGGACTCTCCTCTGAACACAGAGATCTTTTAAGCTAAAGGTTTAGAAACTGGAATCACATGCTGTAAAAATAACCCTCAAAGAGAAGCCTGTAAAATGACCGGCTGTCTGAGCTCCTGTCCAGTAAATACATCCCTGTTTTCCCACACTGCATAAATATGGGTAAGGTGACTTTCAGCCAGAAGGGGCCGCTAGCACTTTCCTTTTCTCCCTCACGCAGGATAAAAAATTACAAAAGACTAAGGCTTGGTCAGATTTCTTATTTTAACAAAGAGATGGAGGTTCTTATCTCATTTAAGCCAGCAGTGGGATTTTCTCCCCAAATCGAGCTCCAGTATTTGGGACAAATGCATGTTTTTATTTGGCACTGATCATAGAGCAAGAAGACCAAATGCCCCTGCCTGCTGTGTCACTGTGGTCAGCACCCCCCCACCCCCCCGCCTTTCCAGATCTCAATGGCCTGTGTACACATGTACATACAAATGCCGTATACACACCTCCCACTCAGGCATGTGCACGTCTAGATCCTTATGCATGTGCAGAGGGAAAAAATACAAAAAGGATCACACTAAGAGGTTTCAATAGATAAATACACTGTCCAGTTTAAACCTTCTGGGTTTTACTTGTGTGCCTCTGCCACATGCGTACATTATGCCCCAGGTCATGGGTCATAGAGTGGCCTCCTGAATTGATTAGAAGGTACATCGGGCTGAAACTTCAGTCTCCTAGTTTCATCATGAGCCTTGTGGTGGTGGGGGCCTGTTTCTTTGGGTGAAGCCACTGTTCTGCCTATTCCTTCCCTTTGCCTCTCTGGCTATTTCCTATTTACCTTATGCTGCAAGGCCTCCTCTGTGTTTCATTAACTTAGTTCATCTGTACGTAGCTCTTACTATGTGCCAGATGTTGGTCTAAGCACTTTACAAGCATTGACTCAGTTAATCCTCCTGATAGCCTTATGAGGCTGAGGCAGTTCTATTATTATCCATTTTGTAGATAAGGAAACTAATACGGAGAGGTTAAGTAGCCTGTCCAGAGTTACACAGCTGGTGTGTGGTGGCACTAGGGTTTGAACCCCGGGCAGCCTGGATCCAGGCTCCATACTCTGTGCTCTTAGTCACCGCTGCATTTTTGACAGCTTTCTTCAGGAACCAAGCAGGCGGGGGAGGGGGAGAGGGCTCTAGTCAGTTCTGCTGAAATTCCAGCATCTGAAGCTGAAAGTTCTACCTTAGGTCTAACCTTTGACCACCTCCAAGTCTCAGAGACACCTGCATTCTCTGCTGCAGCACTTCTCACCTTAAAATGTGAACGCCCACTGCCATGCTCTTCCCAGCTCTTTCCAGAGACTTTGCCTGCTTGGTCACTACTAATTTGTGCCTAGCATACAGTTGGTGCTTAATAGCCATTTCTTAACCAGACGGATAAATGAGAAATGGAATGACCTGAGGACAGTTGGGAAGTTGGCACCAAGGGGACTGGTGACTAATTCGTGGTGGGCGTGGTGTATGTGTCTACCACGACCCCCAGCTGTCTGGCTGGCATGGGTGACCAGGGAGGCAGTAGAACTGAGATGGGGATGAAGGAAAGGGATTATCTGGGGAAAGGTGATAGATCTGATCTTGGACTTAGTGAATACAATGGGCCTGTGGGACATCCCAGGGGAGGTATCCAGCTGGAATTTTGGGACTGGGCTCAGAAGAAACATTGAGACAGCGCAGTGGCGGGGGAGAGGGGGATCCTGGGAGATTTGAGATCTATAGATGAAGGAGGTTAATTGAGACAATGCTGGAAGAAGGCAGCAGCGGGATGGTGAGCACGCCCTTGCTCTGCATCTTGCTGCTCCCACAGGAGCTAAATGAGCAGAGGTGCCTGAGGCTGGCCCGAGCCTTCTGCCAAGGGCTCGGGGGCACGAGCCTTTGGGATGAGGGCATGGGCCTATGCTCTGCACTGCTGCAAGAAAGGAGAGCCCATGAGCTTCAGGGCTGGTGGGTACAAGAAAAGCGTCCCTGAGCTGACTGTACCTAGATACGAACACTGCGAGAATGCCTGAAATCATCACAGAGCCTCCCCAGGCAGGATGGGGCAATGAGTCAGGTCCCTCTTTTGAGCTCTTCTATCTACAAGAAGGTAATGAAGACAAACACTCTCAGAGGAAAAAGATCCCAAATCCCTGCAGCTCTCAGCTTTACATGAGAATTCCAAAACTGACATTGCCAGATTCAGTGCAAAGGTTCTTTCAAGCAAAGGAGATGCCCAGACAGAGGGTCAGATTGACAGACAGAGCTGAGGGGTCTCCTTGCTTGCTCAGTTCAGAGCTGTGCTGAGCTAAGCCAGCCCTGTGGTGGGCATGTACCAGCTAGGTGACTTCGAGAGGTCAGTGGATCCCTTTCTTGAGAAGCATGTTGTTATAGGGGTGGGGTGGGGAGGGAGAGCCTGGCAGATTCTTCCCTCCATTCTTTTTTTAAAATTTTTTTTCAACGTTTTTATTTATTTTTGGGACAGAGAGAGACAGAGCATGAACGGAGGGGAGAGAGGAGGGAGACACAGAATGCGAAACAGGCCCAGGCTCCGAAGCCACCAGCCCAGTAGCCCACGCTGACGGGCTCAACTCACGACCTGCTGGTGAGATCATGACCTCGCTGGGAAGTCGTGGATGCTTAACCGACGATCGCCACCCAGGCTCTTCCAGCCCGGTATCTTAATTCTATTTAAAAAAAAAAAATTTAATGTATATTTATTTCTGAAGAGAGAGAGACAGAGAGACAGAGAGCAATGCTGAGGGGGGAGGCAGAAGCGGGAGAGCAGTAGAATCCAAAGCAGGCTCCACCCCTGAGCTGTAGCAGCAGAGCTCAACGAAGCCTGAACTCACGCAACCAAGGAGATCATGACCTGAGCCAAAGTCGGACACTTAACCAACTGAGCCACCCAGGTGCCCCCCTTAATCTCCTTATTGACCCTCCACCTGAAGTTCTACATATCTCTGAACCCTCAATGTTTTGGGGGTTCCCTGATAAAGGCAAGATACTTCTGGGCATTTATGCCCCTTGGCAGCCCCCTAACCAAATGACTGGGAGAAGCAGTAACCACTTCTCTGGCTCTGGGGCTGGGCTGCTATCTCTAGGTTTCCAGTGGCTTCTGAGCTTGGCTCCTTAGATGGTGGATGTCTATGTAAGTGTATGGGGGTAGGGAGGGACAGCCATTGGCCAACCGTGGAGTTCCAGATCCCTTTCCCCTGGAGCTCCAACAACTTGGGCAGTGAGTTCTACCTCAGAAATAACCCCAACAGAGTCCCTGGCCATCCTTGCTTACCAGCTGGTAGAAGGTGACGTGAGGTCCCTCGGCATCATATAGGAACCACCAGGTGGCGGCAGCCACCGTGGCCAGGCCTACGTACACTGCAAGGAGGGCAGGAGGAAGCTGGCTATAGTGGATAGCTGTGGTTTTCTGGCATCCATTTCCCCTTCCTAAAAATGCCCTGAGTTTCTGTCAGGGAACCACCCTCTCCCTCTCTGAGCCATGTGGTTTATAGCACCTACCCTTAGTGACAGTGGTGGGCCCTGATTGGCAATCAACATCTGCCACATCCCTGGCCACGGTGACTGGCTAGGAGATAAGCAGGTGGCCCAATGTGGGCCAAGAACAGGCCTGAGACTTTGATCATATTACTGACGGACACTCTCTCTTCTGCTGAATTGGGGGTTGTAAGAGAGTAAACATGAGGGCTACAGCTGCAGCAGCCATCTTTCCATCTCAAGGAGCACCTGTCCGAGAATGGAGCTGAGGCAGAGCCAAAATAGGCCAGTGATACTGAGGCCTGGATCCAGCCATGCCTGAGGAATGCTCCAGTATTTTCCATTAGATGAGCCCACACAGCTTCCTTTGGCCTATGCCAGGCTGAGTCATACTGTCTGCAGTTTGCAAGGATCCCTGATAGAAGCTCTCAGGAAGCTCCTGAAACCCCACTGAGGGCTGGGGCCCCACTCACCTCCAATAGCCAGATATCGAAAAAAGAGCCAGCCGCTGATGAGGGCCTCACGAGGGTTCCGGGGCAGCTTCTCCATGATGTCCAGGTCTGGTGGGTTGAAACCCAGGGCTGTGGCAGGTAAGCCATCCGTCACCAGGTTCACCCAGAGCAGCTGCACAGGGATCAGGGCTTCCGGCAGGCCCAGGATTGCCGTGAGGAAGATGCTGGAACCAGGGTCAGAGGCTCTAGGGCCCAGCAACTGGAGAGCCCAGCTCCTCCTCACACTCTAGACTGGGAAGCTCACCTACTGTCTTCACAGGAGCCCCACCTCACTTTTCTAGTTCTTATGTGTGTGCACAAGTGAGACTTGCATATACATGGCTCTGCTTCACACTGGACCACTCGTGCCTCCTAATCTCAGCTCTGGAGGCTGGATGATTCTGCTCTTTAGGCCTCTCCTGTTTAGGCCAGAACTCCTCTCTAGGGCATGTACACGTGTGGACAATGCATGCCTGAGCACATACAATTTGTTCACAGACAGAAGTAAATACAGCACAGGCCATACAATCGCACAAACACAAGCAAACACCTACATGCTTGCCCGGACAAGCAGAGGTGACAGAAGTCACATGTGTCCAAGCAAACATGTGCTCACCATCCCCCACAGGCATCTCTCACACGTGAACCTAAATGTGTACAAATTAGATGCTGGCACAAACCCTCCGTGCTTCTGCTTATGCCTCAAGATGCACAAGAGCACACATGCACATGGCTACCCACACCTTTCATTCGGGTACACACGCCATGTTTGCACACACCTGTGTGCACACACTCACACACACACGTGAACATGTTACTGCCCCAGAGCAGCGCTAGTTCTCCCATCTTGGCAACTGTGAATGTGGGGATTATGGCTAGAGGGATGACAGGGACTTTTTAGGTATCTCCTTGGGGGCCGGGATGCACCAAGGCCTCTGGAAGAATGACAAGGCCCTGCCCTCCTTGAGATGAGGTCCTAGAACGCCGCCTCCAGGGCAGGGCATGTGTTCCTCTATCCCTACAGCCCCATCTGAGGAACAGGCATTTCCCTTAGTGACCTAGAGCTGGTCCAGAGGGCTGGGAACAGGAAATGCAGGGCCTTACCAGACAACCTCGCCGACATTGGAGGAGATGAGGTAGCGGATGAATTGCTTCATGTTGTTGTAGATGGCCCGGCCCTCCTCCACTGCAGCCACAATTGAGGCAAAGTTGTCATCTGACAGCACCATCTCAGCTGCCGACTTGGCCACAGCTGTGCCGGAGCCCATGGCAATGCCAATCTCTGCTTTCTTCAGAGCCGGGGCATCATTCACCCCGTCTCCAGTCTAGGGGCCAAGGTAGGTAGGACCATGCCTGAGAAACTTCTCTTCTACCTCCTTGACTCCTCTCAACTAAGCCTATCCCTAAGCTCAGGGGATGTCCCCAAGGAAGCAGACAGCTGAACAAAACAAATGGTGAGGTTGAGAATGAGCTCAGAGATTGGGCTGGGGTATGAGGCTGAGGGGGAAGCCAAGCATTGCAGACAAGGACAAATTTGAAGAGAAGGTCAATTCTAAGGTCAGAGAAGATGGTGAGGGTGGAGTTGGGGATGACAGTGGGTCACTGATGAGGATAGAGACGAAATTCAGGTTGGATGTGGTATAAAATACAAAGCTGAGGTTAAGGGCAAAGTTAAGGTTAAGTCAGGGATGAGGTCAAGGTTGTGGCCCAGGCAAAGGATCAGGTGGGTGTTATAGTTAAGGTAAAGGCTGGAGCCAAGGTGAAGGTCAGGGTCAACACTGGACTCAGACTCAAAATTAAAAACTAGACTAAGGCAAAGGTCAAGTCAAAGTCAAAGGTCAAATCAAGGTTACGGCCCACATCAGGGGTGATGTCACAGACAAGGTTGGAATTGCAGTCAAGGTGAAGATTGGAGGCCACATAAAGTTGAGGTCTACAAAAAGTATTGGGTTGGAGGTCAAGGTCAATGTCAAGGATCAGGTGAGGGTGCAGGTCAAGACTGCAGCCCATTTAGGGCTGACCCAAAGTAAAAATCAGATTAAGATGGTCAAGTTCAAGGTCAGGGACCAAGTCAATATGAAGGTCAAAATAAAGTCAAGAACCAGATTATAATTATGGTCAAGTCAAGATTGGTGCCCAGCTCAGTATCAAGGTCAAGACTGGATCACAGGTCAGCATTAAAGTAAAGAACTGGGGGCTGGAGGTCAACAGAGGCCAGGTCAGGGGTGAGACTGGGTTCAAGAGTCAGCTGAGTGTTGATGAATAGGTTAGTAATCAAGAATGAGACAAAACAAAAACTGGGCCCAAACAAAATGTCCATTGAAAGGTGAATAGATAAGTAAACTGACTCACAGTGGAACGCTACTCAATGCTTAAAAAAAAAAAAAAAAAAAAAAAAAAAAGCAATCATCTACTGATACCCAAAGCCACGTGGATAAATTTCAAAACAAAGAAGCCACACACAAGAATACATACTACATGATTCCATTCATGTGAAAATCTAGGACAGACAATCTATGGTGGAAAAATGGCCTGTCGTGGGAGAGGGTCCTGATGGGGAAGCTGCATGAGGGAACTTCATGTCTCCATGGTAATATTCCTTATCTTGATAAGAGTTTGGATGACACCCAAAGGTGTGTCTGCATTTATCAAAACATGTCAAGTGAATGCTATGCTTAAGACTTGTGCATTTCATTGCATGTTAGTTTTACCTCAAAAAGGAAAAAAAATAGAACCACAAAGAAATGCTGCTCTCTAGATAGAGTATGCATTCTAAATTATGTGAGGGTGAAGTGTACTGATGCCTGCAATTTACTTTGAAATTTACTTAAGAAAAGCTGGATTAAGGATGGATAGATGGATAGGTATGTGCAAAGCAAATATAACAGAACGTTACTTGTAGAATGTAGATTGTGGATATTATAGATGTTTACTGAAAAACTATTTTAATTTCTTTTTGTGCTTGAGACTTTTTGTAATAAAATGCCGAAAAAATAAGAATGAAGCAGGGGCAGATGTTGTACGGGTTGCTCTTTCCAAGCTCTACGGTCAGTGACCCTCCTCCCCCTCCCAACTCCTCACCACCTCCACTAGGCTCCCATCTTGTGGCCTCACCATGGCGGTGATCTCATTGAAGGACTGTAGGTTCTCTACAATTCGGGACTTGTGTGCAGGTTCCACACGGGCGAAGCAGCACGCTGTGCGGCAGGCCTGGCGTTGCTGCTCAGGGCTGAGGTCATCGAATTCGCGGCCCGTGTAGGCCTTGCCCACCACATCCTCTGTGTCCTTGAAGATGCCAAGCCGGCGGCAGATGGCCACAGCTGTGCCTTTGTTGTCCCCTGTGATCATGACCACACGGATGCCGGCCTGGTGGCAGCGTGCGATGCAAGCAGCCACCTCGGGCCTTGGAGGGTCCAGCATGCCCACGCAGCCCACAAAAGTCAGGTCCATCTGTAGGGAGGGCGCAGATGCAAGTGGGGCCTGGGCCCACGCTCAAGCTGCTACCTGCCCAGCCCTGGCAGGGAGACACGTGGCTCCCAACCCTGGGCCCTGCCCTGGCACGCACCTCGTACTGCGCAAATTTGCCGCAGTCATCCAGCTGCATGTCCTCCTTCCTTGGGGGTGCATCCCGAGTGGCCAGTGCCAGGCAACGCAGTGTGTCTGAGCCGGAGCCCCAATCCCGGATCTTGGCGAGGATCTGCTCCCTGGAGGTGGCGTTCAGGGGTACTGTGCGGCTTCCCACTCGGACTGAGCTGCAGCGCTCGATCACGCTCTCAGGAGCCCCCTGCGTCACGGGGGAGGGGAGAGGTAACTCTGTCAGTTAGGACCCCTCCTTTCCCTCTTGCCCAACAGAGGAAGTTGAGGCCCAGAAATGGGAAAAGGGCATCCAAGGGGACACACAGCAAGGCATGGACCAGAATCCATTCTCTGGAAGCTCAGAGTGGAAACCAAGGGGGCCCCACTGGGAAAAACCCAAAAGGAATGGGGGGTAGTGGCTGCCTGTGGGGAGGCCCCCTCCCCCCACCAATCCAGAGCTGAGAAGGTCTGCTACAGCATCTGGGGCAGGGGGTGGGAATAGGATTGGCAGTCCTCCTACATGCCCTGTTTCCCTGCCAACCTGGTGCTACCAGGATCCCAATTCTGTAGGGGGGTTCAGCAACAGGAAGCAGACTGAGCCCTGCCTGGGGACCAGAGACACAGCCATGCTGAGGGGTGGTGGGTGTGGCCCTGGGAAAATGTGACGGAGTGACAGGCTCCTCAGTAGCCTTGGGGTCTCACCTTGGGTCTCACCCCGGGCCTGGGAATAGCTTCTGAGCCCTTCGTCATGCCTTCTCCCTCTCCCCAAAAGAGAGGAGAGTTTTCAAAGTGGCTAAGTTTTCAAAGTAGCCTGAGATCCCAATACAGAAGCCTTTTCATTTCAAAAGAAGTTAAAACTTCCACTTCAGCATGAAGTTAGGGCTGTGATTCCTACTTCAGGTTGAAAAGCAGTGACAGTAACAGTGCTATGGGCAGAAGTCTGGATGGGAGACTTCCCTCTCTAGGACTCAGTTGCCAAAACATGAAGCACCAAAGATGGGCACCAACTACCTCAATGCCCCTCATCAGAGGTGAAAGGCTTCCGAGACCTTCCAGCTTGATCCTGCCATTTGGATGGGGAGACTGAGGCCCATGGAAGAGCAAAGGTGACCCCAAGGTCATGTGGTGAGGCAGTGCCTCTCAGCCCAGGGCTGGGACCATGGTGAGGGGCAGGCCTTGGTGCCTAGCCCCGGCTTTATCTCCACCAAGACCAGATCCTGCTCCCAGTGCCCCACGGCAGGCTGACCACCCTCGTTCTGGATCCGCTGCTTTGACCGTGGGCCTCACAGCTCCCTTGGTCTCCCACAGCTGCAGTCACTGGCTCTTTAGAACACTGGAGATCGGATCTCCCAGGGACTCCACATGGGCAGCGGCCCTAGGCCAGTTAGGCAGGCCCCACCTTCACAAACATCTTGCTGCCCTGGGCTGCCAGGCCAGGGCGAGTGGGCGTGCAGTACACTGACATGGACTTCCGGTCCCGGGAGAACTCCAAAGTAAACTCCTTCCGCATCAGCTGCTTGATGACCTACGGGGCCCAGGAGGGTCAGGATGTGAGAGGCAGAGCCAGCAAGTCTCACTGCTTTCTTTCCAGCTGCCCGATCCTACGAAGAGCCTCCCGCTCCCTGTGGGATGGTGCCTATCCTCCTCTGAGCCTGGCATTGGAAGCCCCCATCTCCCTCTCCAGCCTGAGAAATGCCAAAAGGTTGCCACTTCCTGACCATGCTGTGTACTTCCCAACTCTGAATCCTCGCCCACACTCAGTCTTTTCCTGTCTTTTCTTCCTAGCCAAGTCTTACTAGCGTCTGACGTCCCTCCTCCTCCCAGAAGCCTCCCAAGATTTCGCCTTCCTCTCTCCCTTCTCTAGATGCCCAGAAGCCCCCGCTATGAGGCCTGTGGCCAGAGCTCTCACTCTACTCACCGCATTGCAGGCACTGGCTCGTTCCACTCGGGACAGAGCCTGGAGGTTGGTGTCAAACACGTTCATTTTCTCCACCAGGCAAGTCAGGGCTGTCTCCGTGGCCTCTCCCACCTTCTCATATACGCCCTTAGCCTGGTGGGGCCCAGAGTACAGGGCGTGAAGAGCAGGAAAGCCTCCAGTGGACCCCCAAGCCTCACCTCCCACTCACTCCCTGACCCCTAGAGCTCCCTTGGCCAGTTACCTTAAACCTCCTTTGCATCAGGCCTCTGGACCCTTCCCAGCCCAGCTGACATGAGGTCTGGGTAGCATCCGACACTGATGCTTCCCTTCCCTTCTGGCCCTTCCCTGACATCAGAGAACATGTGTTCTCCCGGCCGTCTACCTCATGCTCCGCATGCTCCTTCCCAGCCTCCTTCCCCAGATTCCTCTTTCTAAACCCTGCTGTCCGGTCCCTGCTTCTCCCCTCCCATCTTCTCTCCCTGAGGCCTCCTACGCTCCCTGCTCCCCCCACCTTTCATGTGCTTGACTTCCAGTGCCCAGCCTGGCAGTGACCTTTCCCCTGAACTCCAAGCTGCCTGTTGGACTTGGTTCCTTACTGACCCTCAGGCCACCTCCCCTTCCCCCTGTATTTGCCATTCCAGTGACAGTCCCAGCCCGGACACCAACCAGGAGCTATCCTCCGACTCTTTCACCTAACCAGTCACCAAGTCCCAGGAGTTTCGTTCCTAATTCTCTCTCCAACCTATGCCTTCTCCCCTTTCCCTGAAGCCCCAGCCAGCAACTCTCCAACCTGGAGGACCACACAGGACTTCCTGAATCCAGTCTTGCCCTACCTGTTCCATCCTTCACATAGAAGCCTGATCTTTCGTAAATGCAGATCTGACCATTATCACTCTCCTGCTCAAAACCCTTTGGTGGCTCACTATTGTCCTCAGCTTGTTATGGGACCTGACTTGGTGTGGTCAAGTCCTTCCCTCAGGTAGGAGTGTCTTCCTGCATGTTCCATTCTACTGCTCCAGCTGCAGTCAAGGGCATTCAATGCCTACATCACATCAGGCTGTTATGACCTATGGGCCTTTTTCGGGCTGTGCCTTCTACTTTAAACACCCTCCCTAGCCCTGCTCCCCTTATTTCTTCCTCTAGGCACCCTGGCACTACAGTCCCTTACATTACAGTCCCCCACAGTCCAAGAGCCCTAAGGCACTTAGGGCACTGGTTCTAAAGCCAGTCTGAGGAAGGAATGGCAGTGGGGGATTGTGCAGGGGTGGCAGTGCCCCTGGGGTGTGGTACTCCAAAGGGTAAGGGACTACCAATCCTGGGAGTTCTGAGACTCAGAGAAGCGTCTGTCCTGGGCACCTGGATACTAGGGAGGTCACGAAAGGGAGCTGGGGCCCACCTCATTGTAGTCCAGCGCTGAGTCGTTGCACAGGGCACAGATTGTCGCCAGCTCCACCAGCCCATCGAACTGCCCACAGCGCACGAGCTGCTCCGCCTGCCTCCTGTGGGGCTGGGTCTCAGTACCGGGGCATTTGGCCCGGCCCCTGGGAGGCGCACAGCTTCTTGATCCCGCCCCCAGGAAGCCTCGCCCACTGACGACTCTCGGAGCCGTCTGTCCGGTGTAGCCCAGCTCACCAGGAAACCACGCCCACCCGCTCTCCCTCGCCCAGCACTCACACTTCGCCCTCCGGGGCGTAAGTGGTGCCGGAGATGGTGAACTCGTGCAAACGGCAGGAGCTTGCTTCAGCTTCGGCTACCACGAACATCTGGGGAGCGTAGAAGCATGCTCAGGCAAGCCCTCACCTCTCTCCTCCTTGGGCAACGGGTCTGAATAAAGCCTGATAACAGGGTGGGATTCTCTGGGCCCCCAGAAAAGCCACTGGCCTTCCCTCTTGCCAAGGTCTGAGAGATACAGTGTTAAGGGTAGGGTTCAGGCTGAGGCAGGGCCTCTGCTCTGGACCCCTGACGGGTTTATGGCTGGTTCTTCAATGTTCTGGAAGGAGCGGCAGAAAGCCTGGGTCCTTGCCCATTTTGTTATGCGATTCCTGGCTGAGAACCTGAGCATTAGTTTCTCCACCGGTAACATGAGAAGAGAGTGGGGTCACACTAGAGCTGCCCCTCTCTTCCCTTTGAAAGGAGGAGTTCCTGGTCTCCAAGGGAGGAAACCCACAGCCTGCTCTGAGGCAGAGACCCTCCTGCCCAAAGGTGTTCCCAGAGAGTGTGCTCTTAGGCCTGCCGGGTCACCCAGCCCCTACCTGTGCACTTCAGGGACAGGGGGTTCACCCCTCCCAGGGCAGCCCATTTTCTTGTCTGCCAGCCAGCTCTGCCAGGGAGAGCTCTTGCTTTCTGGAAACTGCTTTGCCTTACATTCCCAAGCCAATGGCCAGCTCAGCACCCAGGAGGTGCTCACTAAATGCCCCTTCCTTTGAGCTCTCCTCCCTGCTCCTAGGGGGCAGCCCTCCAGCCAGCATAACTCTTGAGAAGTCGTTTCTCAGCCCCCTGTCCAGCATGCACGGCCTCTACAACTTCCCCATAGTGTGTTTTTCAAATCTTTATTTCAGTTAAGGAACCCTCTGTTCAAATGAAGTCCTACTAGAGATTTTAAAGGTTAGGGGCCTCAGGATATAAAGCTTGCTGGTGCCCCTTCCCCTGTGACAACCTCTGACGGGCTTCAAGTTCTCGGATACAGAGCCTGAGTTTCCCAGTGGGCAGATTATGGAGCAGAGGTGAGAGAAGGGGGATGGGAGAATCTGAGAGGGGTGGGAAACCCACAACCTGCACCATTACCCCACCCACCCCTCTGCCCCATGGAGTCTCAGCCAGAATCCCTGGAGCATGCAGGCAGCAGGCCCAGGATCTGGGACTGAGTGCCAGGAAATGAATAATTCCTGCCCTGGCCCTTCCCAGGTCACTGGAGCTGACATATCTGGTGACAGGCGTTGACTGCAGAGTCACAGTGGAGCAGGACAGAACCTGGCTCAGATGCCAAGGCTGCACTTGACCCCCTCCCGTGTCCTTTACAGTTGTCTACCAAAGCTTGCAAACCCAAACTGCAGGTGAAGAAACTGAGCTTCATAGGCAATGACCTGCCACAGTGACATGTGGGCTCTAGTGACACGTGTCCAGCCAGACTTAGCTGCTCTGCCCCGGGAAAACCTGGATCTGCTCCCCACCATGGGGCAGCCCACAGGCTCTCTCCTCCAGCCGCTGCCAAAGAGCAGTCAAGGGGCAGCCCAAAGAGGGAATTCGGCCAGCTGAACGCCACACGGCAACACCGGTGGGGCCCCAAGCTGGCCGCAGCCACTCACCCGGCAGACAGACATCTGATTGGTGGTGAGTGTGCCTGTCTTGTCGGAGCAGATGACCGAGGTGCAGCCCAGCGTCTCCACAGAGGGCAGACTCCGCACAATGGCATTCTTGCGTGCCATGCGCCGTGTGCCCAGAGCCAGGCATGTAGTGATAACAGCTGGGAGGCCCTCAGGGATGGCAGCCACAGCCAGAGCCACGGCAATCTTGAAGTAGTAGACGGCACCACGAAGCCAGGAGCCACCATGGGCTGGGTCAGCAAAGTGGCTGATGTTGATGACCCACACGGCCACACAGATCACAGAGATGGCACGGGACAGCTGCCGCCCGAACTCATCCAGCTTGTGCTGCAGCGGTGTCCGCTCTGGCTCCACTGCCGCCATCTGACTCCGGATCTTACCCAGCTCTGTGTGCAGGCCTGTGGCCACTGCCACCCCCAGTGCCTTGCCCGATGCGATGTTGGTACCCTGGCCAAGGGAGAGGTGAGAAGGCTGCTTAGCACCCTGGTTAGGGCTGAGGACCCCTGACTCCTTCGGGCTGGCGTAAGGTGCTTATCCCCCTACTAGGCTTTTTGTCTCCGTGTCACTTAGTGCTCTCAGCATTATGCAGCTATGTAGGACCAAGCTATCGCTGTCATCTTGATGACAGTGTCAGCTCTATGAAGGCAAGGGCTTGGTTCAGCACCACGTCCCCAGTGACTAGCATGGGGAAGCACCAGGCCAATATTGACGATAGGATCAACCAGCACAGCACAACACCAATCCCCCAAAATGTGATTCATAAAAAGCCAATGTGGCCATGTAGGAGTGCCAAAGCTGACTGTGATCCTAGGTAAATAATCTGTAAATATTTACTGAAGAATCCAGAAAACAAGTTTACGTCCATCCACTCCCAGGGCCCTGGTAAAATCCTTAAGTCCTGATGTAAAGGCTAGCTAGCCTTGAGCCTCTGTGTCCTCTTTGATAAAATGGTCCCACAAAGGAGCTTCTCTGAGGGGGCTAAAAACACCTTCAGACAGGTGTCCTGGGCTGAGGCTGGAGAAAAGGTAGGTGCCAGTAGCAACCTCAGTTTCTTTTCTCTTGTCCTGAGCATTGAAGCTTCTACTCTCCCATCCCCCTGCCCACACAATTTGCAGGCCCCTCAGCTAAGGAAATGACCTGCAGTTAGCCAGAGCGTGCACCTCAAAAGGCTGCTTAGTGACAGCTGCTGATGCTGGAGCATGCCTTGTCAAGTCCCTCCCCACCCCAAAGCAGCTTGTCCAAGGCTTCCATGCATCTAGGCAGGCAGTTCTTAAAAAGAACTCGGAGCAAATGTTGTGTTCTCCATTTCTGTTCACTTCTGGGGAAGTCTTCTAGCCCTATAACTTGGTGCCCTGGGACATGGCCAAATGGCCTGACCTATCGTGGCTCCTGTGTTCAGCTTCTGGCTGTTTCTGGGCGGCCTGTAACCTTCGCTGGTTAAGTACCTCTGAGGCCACAGGGCCATATCATTCCCACCATGGCTGAACCCACCACTCTCCCTGAAAAGAACCACCGGGCCCTGGCATCTTGCCTTAGGGGGTCAGTTTTCCCATCTGAAATATGAACTGTTTCTGCCATACTCCACCACTTTGGCAACCATCTTCTCTCTAGAGGCGTCTCCACTGGGAAATTATAGGCTAGCTTTGTCCCTCTATAGATTAAGGCAGGGTAAAGCCTAGCAGGTAGGAGGAAAAGCTCTGGACTCCGAGCGTCTGAGTTCACATCCCAGCTCTGCCATTCACTGGCTGTGTGACCTTGGGCAATTTACTTACCCTCTCTGTGCCTGTTTCCTTGCTGGAAAACGTGAAGAATAAGAGTACTCATTTCAAAAGCAGTGTGAGGAATAAATACACGTAAAGGGCTTAGAATAGTGCCAGGCACACAGCCTTCAGTAAACAGAAGCTATCACTAATACCATAAATTTGTACATATTGTCAATAATCGATGAAGTTCTTTTTGTAGGGCTTAACTGATTCATCTAAATGTTACTGTTTTTATTAGCAGTGTCCAGCCATCCCAGGGACTTACAGAGAATAGCATGTTCTTCTTGTCCTGGTTCACAGCTCTGGGATCCAGGATAGCATCTGTGTGTTTGGTCACAGACACGGATTCACCTGGTTGTGGAATCAGAAATGAGAAGCCTTATGTGAAGACACCCCCACCCCCTGACCTAGCCCCTGCTCAGCCCCAGCCTCCAGGCCTCACCTGTCAGGATGGACTGGTCCACTCTCAGAGTGGTGGACTTGATCTCGAGGAGGCGGAGGTCAGCGGGCACTTTGTCTCCCACTGTGGGGAGAGAGTTGGCTGAGTGTGGCTTTAGGCACCACCCCCTAGCAAAGCCAGGAGAGCTGCCAGGAACCAAGACTGGGGCTGAGAGGCAAGGGCCTGAGCTGTGATCCCTGAGATAGGTGCTGCTCCCTGGCCTACAGTCTCCATATCTGTCCAACGGGGTTTTGGCCAAAAAGCTTTGGAGGGATCCAGCAGCCACCCCGCTCTGTGTATACAGCCAGAAAGATGGGGACAAAGGGAGGGATGGGCTCGCCAGCATCACATAATGAAAAGAGGCCCCCAGTGTACCTGCTACTTCCACGATGTCTCCAGGGACGATGTCCCGGGCGCGGACCCTCTGCACGCCCTTGCGGTCCGAGCGGATCACCTTACCCATCTCAGGCTCATACTCTTTCAGGGCCTCAATGGCACTCTCAGCATTGCGTTCCTGCAGAATATGAGGCAGGTAGGTGGTCTGTCCCTATTGGCCCTAGCTGGCTGACCCCTTGTAATGACACCCTTGGGGCCTGGGATACAGCTAGAAGCAGAAGGACCTGCAGCGGGACTCGAACACCAAGTGGCGGTCACATCCAGCAGCTGGGACACCCCAGGGTCCAGCCCACCTCTACCTCCCACCTGCCATACGCCCACGATGGCATTGGCCACGAGGATCAGCATGATGACCAGAGGCTCCACGAAGGCTGTTGTGGTCTCCTCGCCCTCCTCAAACCAGGCCAGGACCTATGGAGTGAGAGTTGGTGAGCTGGGACTACGATGTGTGCCGGGGTCTGCTCACTGTTTCCTTCACACCCCGGATCTCCTGTCTGCTCTCCTGCTTTGGGAGAGATCCCCCCAGGGCGCCCTGGGCTTGGAGAGGGCTGCTCTGAGGCTCTGGCTTAGAACACTCAGCTCTTGCAGTTAGTGACTGTCATGGCCCACATCCCACCCAGCCGACTTTCAGGACAAGGGGCGGTTATACAGCTGCCAGCGTGCCCAGCTGTGGTTCTCCAAGTGTGATGCCAGACTGGCGGCAGCAGCAGCATCTGGGAACTTGTTAGAAATGCAATTCTCAGGGTCCATCTCAGTTCTCCTGAGTCAGAAAGTCTGGGGTGAGGCCCCAACAGTCTATGTTTGAACAAACCCAGCTGATCCCATTGCGGACTAATGCCTGAAGTCCACTGGCCAGAGAAGCATAATTTCAGTCAGAGTCCAGGCCTGGAGGCAAAAGACCTGGTTAAAGTCCCATTCCCACCTCTTGGCCCAAGTGGGTACTTGTTACTCCCCTCCACGGGTCTCAGTGTGTCCATCTGTACTGTAGAGGAGTATCAGCACCCTTTTGGCTAAGCTGTTGTAGGCACCTGCATAGATAGGGTTTTTTTTTTCCTCTGGAGGAGTCCTCAGTTTCTACAAGGACAGTTGCCAGGAAGGCCAGATACAGCTGGCTGGGCCCCCGCTGCCCCGCACTCCATGTTACCTACATGAGGTCTCCTCCCCAGGCCCTGCTGGGCACAGGGCCAACAGCAGGAACTGTGTCCACTCCCAGGGGGCCATTTCCCTGCATTACCCTTGGGTTTCTGCTGCTCAGCCATCAGTGACAATCACCGTCCCCCCCCCCCCCCCCCCCCCCACAGCTCCACCCTGGGCCCCTGATCCTACAGGTCCAGGAGGGTTTCAGGCAGTGAAAATAGCGGAAGAGTAAAGGGAGAAGCAGCCACAGAGAAGCTGTAAGAGGTTAAGGTCCAAATTCTTCTGTGGGGCATTGGGAACCATGGAAAGGGCACTCCACCACCAGGGATAATTTGGCAACATAGGGAGACTTTTTTTTTAATGTTTTATTTATTTATTTTGAGAGACAGCACATGTGTGCACTCATGCATGCGCATGAGGGGGGAGGGGCAGAGAGAGAGAGAGAAAGAATCCCAAGCAGGCTCTGTCCTGTCAGCACAGAGCCCAATGCAGGGCTTGATCCCATGAACCTGTGACATCATGACTTGAGCTGAAACCAAGAGTCAGACGCTTAACCAACTGAGCCACCTAGGTACCCCGAGAGACATTTGATTGTCACAACTAGGGAATACCACTGGGGAGGCAGGCTTTGAGGGAAGCTGAAGTCTGAGCAAGGCAAGAGGTGTGTAGCGGTCCAGGGATGCCCATGGCTAAGAGGACAGACCTGTGATTCAGAGCCTAGGCCTCTGAGCACTGCCCCAACCTGGCCTTCCCTTCCGGGAAGACTGATGCTGTGCGACGGGGGCCTTACTTACGAAGGAGACCAGGGCAGCCAACAGCAGGATGCGCACCAGGAGGTCTTCAAACTGCTCCAGCACCAGCTCCCACAGGGACTTCCCTGAGAACCGGAGTACTAGGTGAAGCCTGGATTCCTTACCAAGTGACTTGCCCCCATTCAGAGCTGGCACCGCCTCAGAGACCACCTGGCCCACTCCCTCCATACTATTTAAAGACTGAGAGCCTGAGGCCCTACAGGCACAGGTGGGTGATACTGGGGGGTGGCGAGGGCTTGGCAAAGCCTCACTCTGCTGGGGAGAGGAAAGGCTACAACCTGACAGTGAATGGCCCAAGAATGTTGCCTGGTGGCCTTGCAGCCCACCCTGGCCCAAGCCTTACCTTCTTCAGTTGGGAGCTCTGTGGGATCCAGGCAGTCACAGGAGCCATGAGGAGACAAGAGATAATCGGGTTATGCAGTGGGGCCGTGGAGGAGTCTCAGCAGTCCCTCCCCACTATGCCTACCCAGACCACCATGATGGTCGAGAGATGTCCCCACAGCTCTCTGAGGTCACAGAATGGATGGTCTGAGCACAGAGGCTTCCATTGCTCCCCTCGCTTCACCCCAGTCTGGTTGAGGAAGATCTGGTATGGCATGGTATGGCATGGCTCACCTTGGGACATGGGTCCTTCTAGACCCCCCTCCACTGCACAGAGAAACTGAGCAAACTGTTGAAGAGAAGGGACCCCAAAGGTCACCAGTGAGCTGATAGCTCCCCTGCACTGCTCTTTCTCAGACGGCTGCCCAATCCTGTTCAATGTCCTCTATGGCCATGGCAAGGTAGCCCCTCCCTCAAATTTAAATGAATGAAAATTAAGTAAAATTTAAAATTTTACTTGATTTTAGCTCAGGCTACTTCTGACTTACCTGGTCCCCCGGGAATACTTGGACAAGGTCTATAGCACAGCCAGCCTGCTGAGTCCCCCATACCTGGGGGTTCCCTTGGACACAACCTCAGCAGCCAGCATCCCAGGCACCCTGCCATGGTTAAGTTCCTAGAGGCTGAGTCTCACCTTGTCCCCCCCCCCACCCCCAAACCCTCCACTCTGGGCAAACTCCATGAAGATCCATCCCACACGCCTGGTCTGTGACCCGTAGAACAGTTTGAGGAATGATGTTCCCAAACACCACCACCACCTGCTGTCACTTTACAAGCTCTATTTTTATCTCCTCCATTTCCTGAAGGACCTTTTATTCCAGGCGAGCCGGCTGCCTCACTACCTGGAGTCTTTGAATCTTCCCAACAGCCTAAAGGGGAGACAGGGCAGGAATGCTCACCCTGTTCCGCAGGTACAGGAACTGAGATCCAGAGTGGAAAAGCGGCTTGAACAAGGTCACAGAGCAAGTAGGTAAGTCTAGGGGAAGGGACAGGAGCTGGGACTCAAAGGGTGGAGTCCAATGGGCTTCTCCCTCCAAGGGCTGAAGTCAGGCTCTGTTGAGGCCTGAGGCTCCTCCCAGACTGAGCCTCCCTGAGCCCTGCTACTCATTGGCCTGTCTCTGGGCTAGCAGCGCTGGCATCACCTGGGAGCTTGTCAACAACGCGGACTCTGAGGCTCTAACCTAGGCTGGCTCTCCCTTCCTCTTCTTCCTTCTTGGCACAGGTCCTTGTATCTGTCCACCTGTTTTGAGCTCGAATACCCGCAACCATTCTCCCTGTGGGAGGCCTCTCCCCAGACCACCTGTTCGGAGGATCTGGGGCATCCGGCAGCTGAACCATGGAGAGTATCAAGCAGCCCACTGGGATGCAGAAATCCAGGAGGGAAACACATAACCTAAAAATATATTTTCTGGTCCTATTTTAGGCAACGGCTGACATTTTCCGTGGAAAATGTAATCTCCAGTGTCCTGCGTTGAGATTAAAATCAAACAGACTTTTTCCTTCTGATCTATTTAGCTGAAGTGAACAGGAAAGGCAGGGGGAGGGCCAGGCCTAGTTTTCTGGGCCAGTTCTCCAATCCAGCGGGGTCCTTTAGAGGTCATGTCTGCCATGCCCCAGCCTTGGCACAGAATATTTCCAACCTCATGGCACACCTCAGCCTGCTTCAGCTGTGCTCTACTCAGGAGACTCCCGAACCCCCCGCCTCTGTGGGGATGTTCGGGGTTCCTGACCAATGGGAGTTTATCCATAAGTCTCACCCGAATCCCTCCTGCTGTCTCCCTAACCCCTCCCTCTGTCAGGCATGTAGCCCTTAGGCTACCATACTCCTGAGGGCATTTTTTCTGGGCAGGGTCAAGGCCTGGGGTTGGGAAGCATTGTCCCAGGGCACACGTACCAGCTCGAATTCCCCCCAAGCTGCCCTCTGCCTGAATCAGTCATCTGTCAAGTTCTCCCCTTCTGCTCTCTGACCCAACATCTGACTCAGGATCCACTCTTTGGTGGCCGTTTGTTCTCCAAATGCTTCTGATTGTCCCCACCTTGCGGGCACATAGTATGACTGCACTTTCTGGCCCTTGTGCAAGTTACAAAAAGAAGGATGCATGTTAGTTCTGGGCGGGGGCATTAAATTGGTGGCAGGAGACTCTCTATTTAGAAGGGTACTGTCTAGTGGAACTTTCTGTGATGATGGAAGCATCCTCTAGCTGCACTGTCCCATACAGTAGCCACTAACCACATGTTAACTATTGAGCATTGGAAATGTGGCTAGTGTGGCTGAGTAGGTGAATTTTAAATTTCACTTAATTTTCATTCATTTACATTTAAACAGCCAAACAAGGCTAGTGGCTATAGCATTGGACAGTGAAGATCCGGAGCTCTTTGTCCTTCTGCTACAACAACCAGCAACCCGTGAGACGTGTCTGCTCTGTGAATCAGAATCACAGAGTACAGGAGACACAAAGCCCCCAGACGACCTGCCACTGACATACAGATCTACAGTGTGAGCAAGAAATGACCTGTACTGTTTTCAGCCACTGAGATACGGGGTTTGTTACTGCAGCATAACCTAGCTGATCCTGACTGATACCCCCTTCTCCCCAGACCTGGCCTCTACCACAAGGTTCCCCTTCTAACCTACCCACTGCCCTTGGGGGAGGCTCAGCCAGCCACGAGGTCACAGAAGATGCCCTGCCCGTCCCTGTACATGCAGTGCACATGCTTCTAGTTTTGCCTGAGCAGCTGGCTCCCTGTGGGATCCTGAGCCTCTTTGGAAGATGGGGTACCCACTCCCACCCTGAAGGGCTGCTGTCATTATTAACATTAGTAAGAACCACATTTACTGAGCACCTATTATGTACCAAGCAGTGTGCCAAGTGCTTTATGGGGTGGGTACTATATGCTGACCATATAAGAAGGTACTCCACAGCAGAATAATTATAGCAGAATTATTAGTGTTGGGCGTGCCAAATGCCATGCATCCTCTTGGGCATTAACTCTCTTGTGATGCTCAAACAACCTGAGAAGGAAGATACCATTATTATTCCCCTTTTACAGAGTAAATAACTGAAGCACAGAGAGGTTGAATGACTACTTTATGGTCATACAGCTGCGAAGTGGCAGCTTTAAACTTGGGTAGTCCAGGGGCGCCTGGGGGGCTCAGTCGTTTAAGCATCCGACTTCGGCTCAGGTCATGATCTCACGGTCCGTGAGTTCAAGCCCCACATCAGGCTCTGTGCTGACAGCTCAGAGCCTGGAGCCTGCTTCAGGTTCTGTGTCTCCCTCTCTCTCTGCCCCTCCCCTGCTCACGCTCTGTCTCTCTCTCTCAAAAATAAGTAAGCAAAAAAATTTTAAACTCGGGTAGTCTGGCTCTTGACCCCCTGCTCAGCACCTCCTGCGCTGACTCCTAAGCTGCTCTGCCTTCCCATCCCTGTTGCACTGCCTTCGCTAGCCAAAGTCATCTGAAAAAACTTGGCATCCTATGTCCTGATTGTTAGGCTGGGTGCCCTGATTCCATCGACTAGCTCACCCCTTCGTCGTGATCCCAGAGCCACTAGCCAAAATCGTCCCTGCCCACAAAGGCTCTGCTGTCCTCACAGGTGGTGTTCTGACGGTTACTAGGCTCCGTCTGCTCAGGCCTGGTCTACTTCAAATTCAAATTCTGCCAAGACCCCAGACAACCCTGGGGCTGTCCCTTCACGTGACCGGGTCCTAGGGCCACAGAGGGAACCCAGGGGCTAGGAAAGCACTGTCCCAGCCTCTCCCCAGGCATCCCTGGAAGATGCTGGTTCCCCCTTGCTATCCTCAGGCTGCATGTGGAGGGGGTGGTGCGCTGAGCCCTCAACAGTGTCAGATGCTCCATTTGTTAAATGGGGAGAATGCCCCAGCCCTGCCCACCTCTTGGTGCCATTCAGCAGGCTGCAGCCAAAGACAGTAACAGGAAGTGCTATTCCCTTCCGCATCCCAGCTGGGCCAGCCCGGTGGCATGCAGTCCCCCACTATTCTTCTGAAATAGTGTACGTGGTGGACTCTCCCAGCCAACCCCTTCCCTAGGTCACTACTGTCAGTGAGCTGGCCCACGCCCCCAGATGCCCAATGTGGGGCTGGTCTGAAGGGGCCTGGAAGATAGCCTGTGGGCCCTGGAGGACAAAAGGGAGTATATGATCAGAGAAGCTTCATGGCTTGGGGCAAGGAGTCTGGTCCAGAGGGCTAAGTTCAAGTCATGCTCTATCTCTTGATAGTTCTTTGGCTATGGACAAGTCAATTAACCCCCTCTGTGCCTCAGTTTCCCCATCTGCAAAATGGGGATAATGATAGTAACTACTTCTGAAGTCACTGTGAAGATTAAACAACATGCACGGCACATGGTAAATGCTCAGTAAATATTAGCTATAATATTGGTTATTAAAACGTAAGCTCCATGCCAGTAGTAATTTGTCAAGTGCAGTGTCTTCAGCACCTAGAACAGTGCCTGGCACATAGAAGGTGCTCAATAAAGATTTGGAAATGAGTGAATGACCCTGCCTCTGTCCTGCTCACAGACCAATGGTGGCTCCCCTTGGCCTGAGGAATAAAGACCGACCTTAGCATGGCCTTCAGGGCCTTCCTGGATCTGCCCCAAGCTGACCTTTCAGAATCCTCCTATATCCTGGACATCTGCCAGCCAAGTGAGATGCCTTAGAATTGCCACTACCTTCCCTGGTTTTGCTAAAGCTTCTTCCCCTCCAAAGTTTTGCTTGGGCCATTCTTTCTGTGCAGAGTACCTTTTCTCAGCTCCTCATCTAAACCCCAGCCTTCCAGGAAGCCTTCTTGGAAAAGCCCGTCCACCCATCCCTCCGCTCTTCTCTTACTAGTCATCAGTATTGCGGTCACCCCCACCTGATGGGAGCCCTTCCAAGGCGGGGAGGGAATGAGTCACCCCTGGGTCCATAAAGAGCCTCACAGAATTGTTTACTCAGTCGCCCCATTGTTCAGGTCAAGGCCCTGGGCCCACAGCCTGGAGCCCAGGAGAAGTGGGGTATACGGCCAAGGCTACCCCAGGCTGCATGCATCACCTGCTCCCCTGATCTTCCCTCTTGACTCCTTTTTCTCATCTCAAAACATTGGAAACTGGTATTTCAACTTCTAAATTGTTGATTCCAGCCTGGAGAGGCAAGAGCTCGCCAAGGTCTTCCTCAAAAGTAAGTTTACAGGGCAATTAAGTTATCACTTGCAGAATCAGGGAGACGCCTTCACTGGGCAGACCGCACCCAGTTCACCTGGCCCTGTCCGGGTCTCTAGGACCTATCTAGAGTGGACAACATGGTCCTGCCCTCCAGGGGGCCTTGGGAAGCAGCTCCCCAAATGCAGAGGCCTACAGACTACCTGGCTGATCTGGCAGTAGAAAACCCAGGCAAAGGGTCTGCTTAACGTCTATATGCCAGCATGGTGTGGACAGACTCGGTCCTGCCTCAGGGAGCTCCTGGTGTGAGGGGATGCTGTTCCTGGGGTGGGGGCGGGGGAGTGCCAAGGCTGCCCAAGAGGGCCAGTGGGCATGAAATCTAGGGGGGACCTAAGAGGCCTGGAACTTCCCATGCCTGTAGGGAAACCACACTTTCCTCAGATCCAAGAATCGTTTCATATCCCGCAAGGCCTTCAGGGGAATCTCAGGATCCCACGTCTGCACTGAGGAGGGCACTGAGGCCAAGGAAGGACAAGTCTTCCTGAGGCCACCCAGCAAGGTGGACCACTCAGACCTCACCCCCTCCTCCTGCCTGGCCCCACACCCCTTGGCCAAGTTTCCTACGGCCACACACATGGGTTTCCTGAGTTCCAGCAGCCAACTGGGGCCCGGGCTGAAGGCAGGAGATAAGGTCACAGCCCAGACACGACTGGCAATAATCTAAATCTAGCCACCCCTCCCACCTGCAGCTCTGGGGCCGTTGTATCCAGTGTACAGATGGAAGGCTCCAGTTCCTGTTAGAGCCCTTTCCCTAGCTCCCTTGAACAGGAACCACCCCAGACCTTCTGGGATCTTGCCTGACTTCCGCATCACTGGGCTCTCCAGGGCCGTCAGGTGTTGGCCTGCTTGGTAGGACATGCCCAACACAGTCCTGCCTCTTGCGTTGGCTCACATCCAGCAAAGGTGATGGGCAGCCCATTCACGGACACAAGAAAATCAAATGGCTCCAAAATACATGGAAAATGGCCCAACATGACTGGTAACCAGATAAATGCAAAGTAAAACTATGAGAGGACACTTTTCCATCAGATTGGCACAGATCAGAATGTCTGGTGATGCATGGCAATGGTGCAGGGGTGACGAAACAGGCAGGTCAACAGGTGCAACTTTATGGAGAACAATTCAGCAATAGCTGTCAAAATGTAAAGTACACATGCTGTTTTACCCAGCAACTCCGCTTCTAGGAATGTATCCTTTGGCAATATTGACAAGTGTGTGAAGTGATGTGGGGACAAGAATATGCCTTGTGACGTGTGACAGGAGAGGCTATGAACAATCGCAGTGCCCTCCAAAAGCCAGGTGAAGAAATACCGGAAGAGCCACATGAAACCCTGCATAGCTACTAGGAAGCCCCAGGATGCTCCACAAGGCACCATCTCCGAGAGTGATTATCACGTGGAAAGCAGGGGCAGAACAGCACTCACGATCCACTCCCTTTCGTGTGAAAAAGATCATAAGGATCCAAAGGAGTATGTACACAGCATACCTTGGGAAGGAGACACAAGACCCTGGGAATACTGGGTGGCTGGACAGGTCTGGGGAGACTTTACTGTACCTTTTAACCCTTTGAATGTTGTACTGTGTGTACATTTTTATTCAAAAAATAAACTGAAAGGATGTAGAAAGCCCCCCAAAGAAATGGAGTCCTGGGCACCTCTGGGACCTGCTGGGAAGGGCACACTCTCCAGAGGTGCTGGGCCAGGGGCCTCCTGTGCACTCCCCTGTTGGGGTTTCAGAGGACACATCTGTTCACTGGGGTTGGGAGAGGCTGTGTTCGGTGTGTATGGGGCATTCCCAGCTGGCAGACTCACAGCACTGCTGAGGCCCATCCCCCAGCTCTGAGGAGGGAGGAGTTAGAGAAGGTAGGACAGGATCCCCAGCCCCTGCTTTCCAGCCTCCCTTCCTCCCTCTACCAGCAGAATTTGCAAACTTCAGGACTTAAGCAAATGACTTCCTTGTGGTTTCCAGCACTAACGACCTTGCAGGTGCACAGACTCCTGGGGTGGGGAAGACACTTGTCCCTGGGGTGTTTCCCTCCACCTGTAGGTCTAGCCCACCCCACCACCCAGCTGGCCCAGATCCTGGCCCAGACTCTTCTGCTACCAGGAGGGATGGCTTGGTGCACACAAACACTCGCAAGCAACTCCAAGACATGGGTCCTATTACGGCCTCACTTACGAAGAAACCAAGGCACAGAGAGGAAAAGTGGCTTATCCAGGATTGCACAGCTGTGAATGGGACAGAGCTAAGGTTCAAAATTCTGTCAGCCCAATCCCAGACACAAGTAGACACCACTCCAGGTTACCCAAGAGGGAAAGACCCCCCCCCCCCCCCCCCGCCAGTGCCCATAGAAACTGCAGAACACAGATGACTCCTCCTCAGCTGGGGCTGGTTGGAGAGAGCATGATGCGGGAAGGGGCAGCTGGCTCCCCTCTCCTAACCTGAGGACTTCCAGAGTCCCGGAATGCTTCCTGAAGAAGAAGCCAATCAGTGATCTGAGGGATCTCTAGAGCCCTGTGAGGGCTGGGGGCATTGCTGGGATAGCTCCTGCCTAATTGACCCACCTCCTAGCACAGCCACCATCAGGGGCCCAAGGCCTGTAGAACCAGTGACTCCCTTCTACACACAGAAAAAGGGAGGCTAGAGAGGGACAGGTACCAAGGACCGGCTCCACCAAATATTATGTGACCTTGGGCGAGTTGTCTAACCTCCTGGTGACTCAGTTGCCTCCTCTGCAAAATGGGAATGACAACGGCTGTTTTCACAGAATTGTTTTGGGGAAGAAATAAGAGATGAAAAGTGCTAATAGTGCTTGGCACATAGTAAGTGCTCAGTGAACATTACCTTTTATTATTACCACTATCAAGGCACAAGGGAACCAGGGACCCCATCAGCGCCCCCCCCCCCCAACTTTTCCTACTTACCACCCTCCAAAAGCACATCCACCTCTTTGTGGATCTACACACCACACCAACATCCTTATCTATCACTTCACACAGATGCTCAGTGGACTGGTCACCCCCAAAGCCCCTCACTAGACAAAATAATATGGGGGAGAACTAAGGCTCCCTCCTTCTTAAGCAGCCTCTCCTCTCCTGGATCAATGAACACATGGGAGCCAGAAAGAAGAGGGATGTAGGCTAGGGTCACACAGGGCTTCTGGAGGCAGAACCAAGGGCTAGGTCTCCAGTTTTCCTTGGGAATCAGGACTCCCAAGCTGGAGGCCACAGTGGCACAAAAGAGGCTGTGAAACCCCAGACCTGCTGCCCTGACCCCCATCCCCACCCCCACCCCAGGGTTGGGGGAAAAGTCCTGCTGCCCTGTCCTCTTGCAGCAATGACACCCTCCCTGCCAAGTCACTAATGGAGGATATTAAATAATATTTATCTGCCTAGTTCCTCCCACAGCTCAACTAAATATAGCAACTAATTTTTTTGGAAAAGGATTTCTGCTCCAGAAAGATAATATTTATATAAGAGGTGGTTTTCATAAGCCAATACAAAACCCAAAGCTCCCTTTCTGACAGCTCTTTGTAATTTTCAAGCCATCCCTGAGCAGTAAGACACTCAGGCCAGAGCACCTTCCCCTCTGGCTGGCCAGGATCCCTGAAAGGGTGAGGCCCCAAGTCCTAAAACAAAGTGGGTCCAGGTTGCACTTGGGGGGGTGGGGGTATATTTCCATCTGGATCCCAAAAGTTGTGCACAGTACCCTGGGGGTGAATGAAGCGGGTGGCAAGTCCTGACTGGAAGTGACTTGAGGAGGGGACCCCTCCATCTCCCACCTGTGTGCCTGGGCCACATCTGGGTAGTACCTGGTACTTGTGCCTTTTGGCAGATGGAGAATCCCAAACTCCTTAGAAGATAAGAAGAAATGATACCACTTCCACCCAAACAGCAACAGCATAAACGCTCCCTCCCTGCCCAGCGGCAGTCAGGTGCTGCTCCCGGTCACGGTCACGGTCACGGTCACGGTCACGCAGGAGGGAAAGGCCTATCCTGGCAACTCCCTGAGTGAGGCCTTGAATCTGCCACCCCCAGGGAGGTAGGTCTCCCGCCTAAGCAGTTCAAAGCCCCCACCGACTCCCTCCCGCCAGCCACATCCGCCTTGGGTTGCAGAAAGAGGAAGACCTGAAGGTGGGGGTGGGGGCACCAAGGCTGCCAGCTGACAAATTGCACCTTCTGGGTGTTTATTGAGCCCTCAGGGGAGACCCTCTGGGCCAGCTGGGAGGCTGGGTCTTAGAGTCCCTGGTCAGCTGAGGTCGGCGAATGCCTTTGCACAATGGGGGCAGGTTGCAGTGCGGGACCGGAACCCAGCGCTGACCGCGGATGGGGGTGGATTAAAGCTTGCGGGAGTGGATGGATGGGGAGTGGATGTGGAAAGCCTCTAAGGTCCGGACAGATCCCTGAGCCTGGGGAAGGGGAGCCAGGAGTCAGGTCTCTAAACCCGGAACCCGCCCTGCACCCCCACGCGAAGGTGGCCGCGCAGCCCGTCCGAGTGCCCCAAGAGCATCTGCAGAAGTTTCTGGAGCCCTCGCTTCCGGCCCGCCTGCGGTAACCGAGGGTTGGAACCGGAGAGGTCCGCTCCCCTTTGCGGCGCAGGGGAGTAAACTGAAACTGCGGGTCCCCGCTTCCCTGGCCAGGCCGACGCTCTCACCGTTGGGGCCGTAGCGCTCTCGCGCGCTAGTCACCTGCTCTGGCCTCAGGCCGCCCTCGACCGTCACTGAGAAGCGGCGCAGCACGTCGGCTGCCGAGAGCAGATGCGCCGCCTCCATGCCGCCCGCCTGGTTTTCTGCGCGGTCTGCACCGTCGAGTCCGCCGCCTCTTCGCGGGGCTACTGCGCTGGGCGCCGGGAGCTCCCGCCCAGGAGAGAGGCGCGCGAGGTCATGTCCGCGCCAGGACCTTTCCCGACGGCAGTGGCTGCAGCGGCGGCGGAGGCCCGCGCCAGGATGCAGCGCCCCGGGCTCCCTCCCCGGGGCGGGGCGGCGTGGAGCCCGCCCCCGCACTCACACCCCTTCCGGCAGCCCTAGGAGCCCGCTGCCTCCCCGCCCCGCCCCCGCAGCGCCCCGGGGCGCAGAGGCTGGGCCGCCAGCCCATTCTGCGGAAGGGGGAACTGAGGCCTCCTGCGGGGAGCGCACCTAGCGTGTCCGGGAGGGTCCGCAGCCCCTATCCTCAGGGCTCTGGGCGCCACCAAGGGCCGAGAGCTGCGGCGGGCTGCGGAGCACGATTCTCAGGGCTGTCCTCTTTTGAGCCTTCCTGGGTCCTGGGGGGTTGCAAAATGGAGGTGTCCATAGAATGGCTTCCTATCCCCGAACTTGAATTATGCAAAGGAGGACCCTGGGTCTAGAGAGAACCCAAAAGCCTGTGAATAAGCGCAACTACTGCGGAGATTACTTGATGTTTTCTTCTTTTGATGTCTGTGCTTTCTTGATCTCTTCCAAATGGTCAGCGATGCATGGTTATTCCTCATACAACCGAACCTCTAACAATGAACCAGTGTATGAGAAAGAAAATCAGTCTCATTACCTTAGACTCACAGTCTTACCCCAGCAGGAAATGTATCTGCCAAGGTGGGGGTGGGGCTCCCTAGAGGCCTGAGGGGCTGGGGTGGAGGCCTCTGGCCAGGGTCCCCAGGGAGAGTGACCCTGAGTCAGGGATGGGGAGGGACCTAGGAACCCCCACTCCAGCGCTCCCTGAGTTCCAGCCTCTCTAAGGGGTGCCAAGAGAAGGAGTTGCAGGTCAGGGAATCGAGCTGTGGGAAGGCAGAAACCACTCACCCCGTCAAAAGAAGGAGCAGAGAGCAGTCTACTCCAGGCACCCCCTTCAGCTTAAGAGCCATCCAATCTCACCCATCTGCCCTCTTAACGCCCCACCCCCTCCCAAGCTGGCCTCTGCTGTCTTCAGCCTCTGGGATCCACCTTGGCTGCACAAGGTCATAGATTCCAGATTGAGCCCACCCAGCCAGCTGTTCAAACCCTAAACCCTACAGTGAGTTCCTGTGCAGCCAGAAAGCCTTTCCAGATACTGCAACTGCACACACAAGCCCAAGCTTTCAGCCTGGCCCTGGTTGCTGACCCCTATCCGACCGTGTGTACCCCACAGCTCCTGATCTCTCCCTGCCAGGATAGAATGTGGTCCTCCTCCTCCTCTGTCTGATCTTCACTATGCCTCCTTAAGCATTGAGACACTCAGTGAGTGTATGCTTTATCTGCACTTGGACAAACAGCTGGTGGCCAAAGTGACATGGTCACAGGCATGCTGTCCAAAGGGCACGTCTATCCTCCCCACCTCCCAGCTGCCGTGTACTGAGAACTTCGGTCCTGGCACCTGGGCCCAGCTCTTTCGAACTCTCTCACAGGATAGATGGTTGGCAGAATTTACCGCCTCTCTGGCAACAGACATGCCTACCTCACTTCACCTGAGGAGACCAGGCTGGAGCATGGGGGAAAGGTAGGTCTTCCTTAGAAGGACTTAGACACATGAGAAAAAAAGGGTGTTGCAGTCAGAAAAAAACAGCCAGTGTTGAAGGTGGGACACCTCAGCTGTCTGCCAGGGGTAGTGATTCAATCCTTCAGCATGGCTGGATCATAAGGAGCATGAGCACCAGGATTAGGAAGGTAGGTCAGAGAGACAGAGCTATGACGCTGAGAACCTTGATTGTCCATATAATGGCCTGGATTTTGGACTGAAGGCTTTTTAAGCATTAAGAGATGGAGCTTTTGAAGGGGAGAGCAGAGGCTGAAGGGACCCTGCAATCCTCCTGACAAAAAGTGAAGCAGTGTGAACCAAGACAGACAGGGATGCAATGGACTGAACCTAGTAATGGATTAGATTCAGTGATGAGAGATAGTGAGGAGTCCCAGCTAATCCCCAAGTTTCTGGCATCAGTAGCTGGGTGGGAGAGAGGTTCAGCCGTGAGGTAAGGGAGCAGCAGATTGATGTGGGGAGAGGAATCAAGGGGTATATTTGGCGCCAAGTGGGGAACCAAGGGGTATGAGGGGTCTGGGAGACTCCAGGTAGAGATGTCTTAAGGCAGCTGTGGTTTGGGGCTGAAGAGGGATACCTGGGAGGCAGCCTGAACTGCTCATGTAATCCCCCTCCCCAGCTGAGTGACGAGGGGAGGGCTCTGAGCCAGGAGTCACTCAGCCATAGGCAGGTGAACTGAGCCAATCAAAGTCTCTCTCGAAGAGATTAAATGTTGAGCCAGAGGTTATATCCAGACCTATGACCATAGGCGCTTGGACTACAGTTAGAGGGCAGGAGTTAACATCATGTGAAGTACAGCAATGGGAGAGCAGAGGGAAAACCAAGTCTACACAAAGCAAGATATTGAGACAAGATACCATGTGGTGTCAGAGACAGGGAGAGAGAGGCAGAGATAGAGACTGCTTAATGGCATCCAAGTTCCTCAGAGCCTCTACCGTACTTCTGCCCTTGGCTCCCCGAGATTCCATGAGGCACAATTTTGTGCACTTTGCATAGACCTGCCTTTATTTGTCACAGTTTGAGCAGGTTTTTGTCTATTGCAGCCAAAGGGCTGTGACTAGAGTCTGGTAGGCTCGGCTTTGAATCTGGGCTCTGCTTCTTGCAGGCTGTGTGGCCTTGGGCAAGGCACTTCACCCCTCTGAACCTCACCTTGTTCATCTGTAATTATTAGGGTAAGTCAACTACTGTAACAAGGTCACTCCAAAATGTGTAAAGACTTAAGCAACATGGAAGTTTATTTCTCGGTCATGTTAAGTCTGAAGCAGGTGTTCTGCTTGGTGGAGTGGCGACACTGAGGCCCAGGCTCTTTCTGCTCTGTGATTCTGCCATCTCCAATGTGGTTCCAAGGTTACCACACTCACGTGCATCCAGTCAGCAAAAGGAGAAAGAGGAAGGAGGGTGGTGATCAGTGTATGAGGCAGTCCAGAAGGTGAGGACCTCATTTTCTCTCAAGTTCCATTGATCAGAATTCAGTCATATGGCCACATCTAACTGCAGGGGGAGCTGGGAAATGTAGTCTACCCCAAGTGAAAGCAGTGGGGGGGGCCTGGGTGGCTCAGTTTGTTGAGCGTCCACCTCTTGATTTCCTGTCAGGTCATGATCCCAGGGTCGTGGGATGGAGCCCTGCATCAGGCTTGCGCTGGGCCTGCAGGCTGCTTATGACTCTATTCTCTGCCTCTCCCCACTGCAGTTTCTCTCTCTTTCTCTCAAATAAAAAATATATATATTTAAGAAAGAAGAGAAAACTAGTCTGGTGAATAGGTAGTCTTAGCCATATATGGAGATAATAATGACCCACTTCCAGGATTGATGAAACCCAGCATCCATCCTCCTTGCTTGGTTTTCTTTATTAGAATCTTCCCTGCTCCTCCCTCATTCCTTGTGGTTCCCTTAGAACTGATCCCATTTCCTAGATCTAGGGTGGTTCTTTATTCCCTGTTCTGTAGCCATGAGGCCTTATATGTAACTCTCGGGAATATACATAGCTTACTGATTGGTTCAGGACAAGCATGTGACCAGAAGTTGGCCAATCAGAGCCATTGACTTGGATTTTTATGAGAATATTAGGGAAAATATTGTTATTATGTCCCTAAAGTGGTGGTGAATCTGGTGCAAGTAAATGGGTGTTTATGTTGCTGGGCGTGTTACATTGCCACCATGCAGAATTTTCCGCCTACATGAAGTTACCAATAAAGTAGAGAGATGGAGAAAGGCAAATTTCTGATGACATCTACCTGCAATCAGTCCATCCCTAGTTTTTTGTTTTGTTTTTTTTTTTTTCAGTTGCGTGAGTCAGTAAATTCCTTTCTTAGTAAGGGCTTCTGCCATTTGGAAACGGCCTTAAAGAGCTGCTGTGGGAACTAACTGATGGATGTTGGTAAAATATGGTGTCCAGAAGTAGTACGTGCTCAATAAATGGTTCCTAGCATTACTCTTACTCTTATAGGAGTGGGATAGGGACTTGCAGGGGAGATGGAGAAGGAGCAGCCAGAAACGAAGATGAAAAACATGGGACCAACAGAGGAAGGTTTCCCAGATGTCCCTCCTCTGGGCCTTGTCCTAGAGCCTCATTGGCTGGCCTGAGCGCTGTGCCCCAGCACTCTGATATGCCTCTTGCCTGTCACCTGAGGTGAAGAGTCACCGTGTGCCAGGCCCTGTGCTAAGTTCTTTTCCCATATCATCTCATTTAATCCCCACAACAACACTGGGGTTGTTATTATTATTCCCGGCTACATGGGCATATAAAGTGTATGATTACGCAGGGTCTGGTGCTTGGTTAATGCTCTGCTATCATTGTCTCGTAATTCTGCATAATTTTATCTCTGAACTTACACTTTGTAAATGAAGTCAACAGAGCATGTATGTAAGCCGAGAGGCTATGCCAAATATGCTGTCCCATTCAAATATAGAGTTTGTGATGCTCTATGAGCTCAGAATTCTGGTGGACTCATGATGCATGGGAGTTCAGTGAGACTCAAACTGGGTATAAAGCAAGCGTGTTATGTCTACAACTGAGTAAGTGGGAGTGCTGACCACCCTGATAGGCCATGCTTTGCCTTTGAACCAGAACTTGCTTCAAAAGCAAAAAGAAGGCAATAGTATCCTAAGAAACACTTCCTCACTCATGATACTTCCCAGCATTTGCCAACCACTTAAATTAGAAAGGATGCCCTATTCCATGCTGATGGTGCAGAGCCTGCATGGCATGGGATTCTCTCTCTGCTCCTCCCCTGCTCACTCTTTCTCTCAAAATAAATAAAACAACTTGAAAGAAAGAAAGAAAGAAAGAAAGAAAGAAAGAAA